AGTGTAGGTTTTTTAACTACCTCTGCCCATTCTTTTCTGGAATAAGTTAAATGAATAGAAAACACAGGAAGGAAAAGGCACCTGAAAAAATACGCGCGTTGTTCTCTGTTGCACAGTAGTAGTCTTTATGTCCTTGGTGAAAACTTGAGTTTTCTTTTAGCTTATGTATCCTTGGTTTGGATCTGTGGGGTTATAATATTTTAGTTATTTCTCTCGGTCACACATGCATATTTTAAAAATCTTTCAAATAATCCACTCTGAAGTAATTTTGAAATTTTTGTACATCTTATTTTGTAAAGTTAATAAAAGCTGAAGCTAAAAAATATAGTTGTTCCTATCATAGAAGAATGGCAGGTATGTGGTTTGAGAGTATGTGTGCACACATTTGCATGAAATAATTGGAGAGAAACATTGAACATAATCTGTTAAAGTCTTGGGCTTCTGATTTTATTTTCTTGAAAATTAAAAAATATATAAGAAATGAAACTGAAAAAAAATTTTTTAAGCCAGATATTTGAAAATTACTACTTTAAAATTAAGGTACTACTCTTTACCTTATTGTATTTAAATTTAGACAGTAAAAAGAAAATATAATCACAATCTGAAGTTTTGTGCTGGGTGCTTAATCTATTCAAACAAACATTAAATGTGTGAACATTTGGAGGGTTTAAAAATAATATTTGTTCTTAAAGCATATAGGGATTTTGGGGGGGGCTTATTGGGTTTGGTTACTTATAGTATATTAGAAATAGGAAGCAAGTTCTACCTAGGAACTTCCCTATAGTTTCATGTTTCCTTCTTCTCTTTACCCTCTTCTTTCTTTTTCGGCTCCATTCCCTCTCTTTCTCTTATTAGTATATTTTGCATACATTTCTGATACTAATTGTAAGTGACTTTGGTCAATATGCTTAGTGCTTGTGATATTGTTTACACAGATTTTGTGTGCTTTTTTAAATAGGTAGGTAGGGCCCTACCACACAAAAACTTCCTTAGAATCCCTTTTGAAAAATCCTAATTTTCCATTCTTATTACCACCAAAAGTATTGGTTGGCCTTATGTTTTTTAAGCGGTAACCTGAATAGTCAGTGGTAGAATCAGACTGGGAGGAATTTGAACATTTCCAGAGAAAAGTGCTTTTAAACAATATGCTTACACCACAAGAACTGAGAGTTCTTTCCTTTGAGATGTGTATTACTGTTTGTGCTTCTGAGTTGAAGTGAAACAGGTTTTTCTGTAATATCAAGCTATAAAAATGTTTGACAGTTTTATTTTTCAAAAAAAATTTTGTTTATAAAGTCACAGTTATATCCATTCATAGATGTTGGGACTTCATATGTGATAGTGCATAGTAATCATAGGACAAATACTTTTTTGGAAGCAAAACAAAATTCATTTGTATGATCTGTGAACTTTGACATTTTTTCAAGGATGCTTACTTACAGTGTACCCTGTTACCTTATATAGTCTCTTTATCTTAAAAAGAAGAAAGTAAGGCAAGTGATTTCTTAAGCTTTGAAAATTTGCTTAACTTACTAACAACTATTTAGTGAGTTTATCCTCTAGCAAACACCATACTAATCACTGACTTTATATGCTGCCTTTCTAATGCCACTTGTAATATCAAATCTCATATCCCAGAGAAATATGGAAAATCTTCATACTTTGTGGTATTATGTGATCATCTCTGCTAGAAGCTCTCCCTTTCGATTTATGTATTTCTAGATAAAGAAACTCAGTAAGAACTAATGGGAAGAAAAGACATAACTAGGACTAATGAGAGATTTTAGAAATTTGTAAATAACAGAAATACTAAATAATAGAAACAGAAAACAGGCTCACCACAGTGACATGAATGAAAATACCAAAAGGAACTGATAGGGACCCAAGTATACTAAAACTTAATCTGTTGTTTATTACTTTGTTTATTACAGAAGAATAATTTTTCTTAGATTTAGATATAATTGGGAAGTATTTAGTTAAAGAAATTAAATTTAACAAAGCAACTTAATTTCCCAAAGGATAAATATAAACTAGGATCTTCTGAATATTAATGGAGCCTAGCAAGCATTCTATTATGTAAATCCAAAATATTCTTATTTTCTCATACAAGTCCTAAAAGCTTAAAAAATTAGTTTAACCATTAAATATCTTAGGAGAATAAGAGTTATAAAATTGGAGGTTGTTTAAGCTCATATACTTGACCTCCTTACATACTTAATGTTGAAATACGGAAAAACTACAAATATTTTTAAATTATTAACTTAAGAAAAGCAGTTTTTCTCCCGATCTTTTAATGTGATTTAATGTGATTTCACATACCATGACCTTGGTATGTGAATAGAAGATTGAGAAATGATATAAACTGAATAGGAGGGTAGACAGGAAACAAGAAACTGGGATCCAGATTATTAAAGACTGGATTATTCTAGAGTGAAATGAGGTACCACCATACAGTTTTTAGCAGAAGAGTGACATGGCCTAATTTGTGATTTAAAAGAATCATTCGGGCTACTGTGTTGATAATTGACAGCGGGAAGAAAAGGGCAGAAACAAGAGACTATTCAAGAGGCTATTGCAATAATCCAGGGAAGAGATAATAATGGTAGTTTAGACTAGAGTGAGAATAACGAGCAGTGGTTAAATTCAGGGCACATTTTGAAAGCAGGGCCCACAGGATTTCCTGACAGTTTGATGTGGGATGTACTTGAAAGAGTGAGGTCAAGAATGACTAGAAGCTTATTTGCATGAGCAATGGAAAGGGATTAGACTTGCCTTCAACTGAGATAAGAAAGGCTGCAATTGAATCTGCTTTGGGGGATGGAGGCATATGAAAAGATCCGTTTTGGACATATTAAACTTGAGATGTCGGACGTGGATTTGGACTGGATCTTCAAACTTGGAGGTCCTAGCCTATAGATGATAGTAAGCCCATGCCCATGAAATGGGACATAAATTGGCTGGTAACTGGACATCAATGAGACAGGATGATAGCTGAAAATTAACTCTATCACAACTTTTCCTATTGCCAGTATTGCTGATGGCTCAGTTCTTCTGACCTAATTGAGAACCAAATTCAACTCTTCTCAGAGTTTTTGACCTAACAGTATACCATATGTGAAGTAGTAAGCATTCATTAAATTTTATCATTTAAAGGACAAGGCAGCTTAAATGCAGATGTCTGCATTTAGCTTCTTCACTCTTTGGTCGTGTTGGTTTGGGGAAATTATGAATGAATTGCATTTACCTGTTTTACTAGAAAATGACAAGTATTTGGGTTACTAAAGCATAAGGCAAAATATTAGGTAATATTAGGCTGAATATGATAGTTGAAGAGAAAAAATTCAAATGATAAAAACAGAAAACTAACCTCTATTCCCTTGGGCACTGAAAAACAATGCCACTGGTGGTTTCTGTACTTTGGGGAATGTCAGAATTACCTGGACTTCTCTTAAAAATACTGATATTTGGCTCATACTCCTAGACCTCTGATTTATGTGGTATGAGATACAAGATGGGTATCAAGAATTTTAGAATATTTCCAGGTGGGTCTAATGTACACCAAAGTTTGGAACTGCTTTGATGTATACTATTTTTTTCTAATGGAACTGTCATTAATAATCACACTATTCAAATTCCCTTTCATAATTTTTTTCATTCTTTGCTGGTACCAAAAATGGAAGCAACATTGAGAAAAGGTCCTCTCACAGGCATTATACCAAGTGAAATAAGTCAAAGAAAGATAGAAAAATACTACATGATTTCACTTATATGTGGTATCTTTTAAAAAAAACTAAATTAATCTCATAGATACAGAGAACAGAATGGTAGTTGAGAGTGAAGCAGGAGTGAAATGGGTGAAGGTGGTCAAAAGGTAAAAACTTAGAGTTTTAAATTGACACAAAAATGTAGTGTACAGCATGGTGACTAAACTTAATAGTACTGTACTGCATATTTAAAAGTTGCTAAGAGAGTAGATCTTAAAAGTTCTCATCACAAGAAAAAAATTTATGTATGGTGATGGCTGTTAACTAGATAAAAGTAAATGAGCTCTAAATTATGTAAATAAGAAATCACTGACGTGATTTGTTGTGGATTCATGGCAACTGTTCACCTGGTCATTTACTTATAGCAGAGGTGAACCTCAAATTGGAGGCTGCTAGGATGTTATGGTAGCTTCATTAGACTTTTGAGTAAGAAGACTTGGATTCAAATCACAATTCTTTTGCTCATTAGCAGAATTATAATGGGCAATTCATTTAACCTTCCTGTAATTCCAATTTCTTTCTTCCTAACATGTAAGTGTGTTTTGAATGGTTATTATAAATAATTTTTAAAGTTAATATATATGAAGGTAAATTATAAAGAACTATATAAAGATATTAAAGAATTATTATTTGAAAGGATTCTTCTTAACCTTAAAGTGATATAACATTACAAAATGTAATAATTTCTCAAAAGTGAATAGATTGTTATTTTTTCACTGCCATAAGAATGGAGCTCTGCATACAGTAGGTAATAAATGCTATTAACTAGACATATTTAGTACAGGAAGTATTGTTTCAGATTTATTTCCTGTACAGTATATTAACATAGGGAAAACATATGGGGAAACTCATCCTGGGTTTCAACACAGAAGTTGTCACCAACTAACAAATTTGTGTCAGTGAACATGCTCTAAGTTTTAGGTTTCTTTTCTTTGGATATTGGGGATAATATTTACTTTTCAGGGCTGCTATGTGAGGTTCAAGTGTAAAGCACCAAGCATAGTGGCTGGAACAGAGCTTGCAGGAAATGTTAATTCCTTGTTTCTCTCCAATAGTACAATAATCTTGGAATAGTAATTTTAAAAGCTGAATAATAATTTCTCAGTAGCTAAAAATTCTTAACAATCAATTTTTATTTGCCTTGCTGATTTTTATATTATTTTAACTTGTAAGTGTCCACCTCCCTCCCATCCCCAATGTTTTGAAAAGCAGTTTTTGTTTTGTATGCTTTTTCAGGTAACAAAAAAAAGCCATTTAATGTTAAGTCTACACAATGGACAGCACAAAAGAAAAGAATGACAGTTGCAAAGATGATCTTCTGCTTAGGATGGGACTTAATGATAATAAAGCTGGGATGGAAGGATTAGATAAAGAGAAAATAAACAAAATTATAATGGAAGCCACAAAGGTAAGTTTCTTGTTTCTTTCAATGTCTTTAATTTAGTAATTTTTATTGAAAATCACTGTTTTAAACATCCTTTTTATTGTAATTTTTAGTATGTTAAAACATTGTTAAGCTACAGAAAGGTATGGAATAATCTCCTTTCTAGTCTGTTGCTCTTGCCATCCAGTCTTCTACTTCATGTGTACATAATATGTATGTAAAAGCAAAATAACATGCATTTTTTCTCTTTTAAAAATCCCAGTAGAATACTATAATTGTTGCATTTTTTATTTTTGTTTGAGTTTATATAACTTGGAGGTCTTTCTGAAGATCTTTCTGAAGAATTAAAGTCCTCTATTCTTTTTTTATGCTATATGTGTGGATATAATTTATTGAACCAGTCAGAATCTTGATTGTTGGACATACATCATTTCGAGTCTTTTGTTTTTACAAACAGTACTGCAATGAATAACCTTGTATTTTATAACTTTACATATGTGCGAGTAAAGCTATAGGAGAGAGTCCCAGGAGTGAACTCATTCAACCAAGTGCAGATAGCACTAATGGATATATGCATGTGCAATTGTTATGAATTGCCCAGCTGTCCTCCATTGTGGTTGTATCTGTCTACATTTCCACTGCCAATATATGAGAGTATGTGTTATCATGCCACAAACATGCCAACACTGCATGTTATGAAACTTGGATTTGTCGATCAGTGGTAACAGAGTGTACCATTAATTTGTATTTCTCTTTTGAAAAGTGAGATTGTGCATCTTTTCAAAGCTATTTGTATTTCTTTTTTCACGAACTGCTTCTTTTTAGCCTTGGCATAGTTTTCCATCGGATTACTGTTTATTTTTATTATTCTTTACTTTTTATTTTGCTTATGGTAGTTTTTCCTGGGCAGAAGTATTTTGTTTGCTTCTTTTTATGTACTCGAATCTGTCAACTACATATGGTTTTCTTAAAGATCATGAAAGAATTCTTTAATAGTTCTCTTCCCACTTTTTTGGTGTCATACATATATTATGGAATATACATGCAGAAATGTATAAATATGTAAAAGAATATCCTCTTTCTCAGTAAATGCATGCTGATATTTACAGCGGCTTCCTTCAAGTGGTTTAGTCAAAAGTGGGGAGGAAGGTTGTATGTGTGTGCACGTGCACACACGCACACTTAGGACTTAAGGAAGCAATCAAATGCAGCAGGATGTTAATTCTTGCTGTATCTGAAAGAGGAAATATAAGTGTGCATTTTACCATTTTTTTCAACTTTTAAAGATTTAGAAATTCCAAAATAAAAAGTTGAGGGAAGAATAATTTAAGAATATAAAATGTAGACACAATTTTAAAAGGAAAAACTTGAGAGATGAACGACTTCTGGCCAAGATGGAGGTATAGGTAGACACACTGTGCCTCCTTGCACAACCAAAATAAGGACAATAACAATTTAGAAACAAAAAACAACCAGTACTGACAGAAAATTGAACTGTATAGAAGTCCGACAACCAAGGAGTTAAAGTAGACATATTCATCCAGACTGGTAGGAGGGGCGGAGTCAGGCTGCTGGGTGCAGAGGGGTCACGGCAAAGCAGTGGCTGGCAGACCCCGAGTGCATGGGGCAGCAGCTGGAGGACCCAGCAAGGTGGCGGACTGTGGAGGGGTGCAGCACACAAGGCGGCTGGTGGACCAGGCTGTCCCACATTCTCAAGCAAATAAACCAAGCGAAACTTTGGAGTGAGGCAGACTGCACGATCCTGGGCTCCAGTGTGGGGAAATAAAACCTCAAAACACTAATTGAAAATACCTGCGGGGGTTGAGGTGCCGGAAGAGACTCCCAGCCTCACAGGAGAGTTCACTAGAGAGACCCACAGGGTCCTAGAACATACACAAGCCCACCCACCAAGGAATCAGCACAAGAGGAGCCCAATTTGCTTATGGGAAGCGGAAGAAGGGACTGAAATTTGGCAGAGAATGAAGCAAGCGCCATTCTTCCCTCTCAGACCCCTCCCCCATATACTGCGTCACAACACAACCACGTGGGTTACCCTGCCATGGTGAACACCTAAGGCTCCGTCCCTCATTACATAACAGGAGTGTCAGGACAAAAAAAAAAAAATTAGCCCAAACGAAGGAACAAATCAAAGCTCCAGAAATAGTAGAACTAAGTGATGAAGAGATAGCCAGCCTATCAGATGCACAGTTCAAAACACTGGTAATCGGGATGCTCACAGAATTGGTTGAATTTGGTTGCAAATTAGATGAACAAATGAAGGCTACGCTAAGTGAAATAAAGGAAAATGTACGGGGAACCAGTAATGATGGGAAGGAAACTGGGACTCAGATCAATGAAATGGACCAGAAGGAAGAAAGAAACATCCAATCAGAAAAGAAGGAAGGAACGAGATTTGAAAAAAGTGAGGAGAGGCTTAGGAACCTCCAGGACATCTTTAAACATTCCAACATCCAAATTATAGGGGTGCCAGAAGGAGAAGAGGAAGAGCAACAAGTAGAAAAGTTATTTGAACAAATAATAAAGGAGGACTTCCTATTCTGGCAAAGGAAATAGACTTCCAGGAAGCCCAGGAAGCTCAGAGAGTCCCAAAGAAGCTGGACCCAAGGAGGAACACACCAAGGCACATCATAATTACATTAGCTAAGGTGAAAGAGAAAGAGAGAATCCTAGAAGCAGCAAGAGATAAGGGGACAGTCACCTACAAAGGAGTTCCCATCAGACTGTCAGCTCATTTTTCAAAAGAGATCTTGCAGGCAAGAAGGGGCTAGAAAGAAGTATCCACCTCATGAAAGGCAAGGACCTACATCCAAGATTGCTCTACCCAGCAAAGCTTGCATTTATAATGGAAGGGCAGATAAGGTGCTTCTCAGATATAAGGTCAGGTCAAAGGAGTTCATCCTCACCAAACCCTTATTATATGAAATGTTAAAGGGACTTATCTAAGAAAAAGAAGATAGAAAACATGTACAGTAAAATGACAGCAAACTCACAATTATTAACAACCACACCTAAAACTAAAACAAACTAAGCAAATAACTAGAACAGGAACAGAACCACAGAAATGGAGATTACATGGAGGGTTAGCAACAGGGGAGTGGGAAGAGGAGAAGGGGGGAAGGGTACAGAAAATAAGCAGCATAGATGGTAGGTAGAAGATAGGGGGAGGGCAAGAATAGTATGGGAAATGTAGAAGCTAAAGAACTTACAAGAATGCCACATGGACATGAACTAAAGGAGGGGAATGTGGGTGGGAGGGTGTGTGCAGGGTGGAGGGGAGTGAAGGGGGGAAAATGGGACAACTTAATGGGAATCAATAAAATATATTAAAAAAATAAAAATGGAAAAATAACCTGGAGTACTATGATCAGTTTTGTTTCTAAATATAAATAAATGAAAATTGAATTAAAATAAAAAAAAAGAATTACGAGGTGAAATAAGCAAATTTAACATATGGATCCTGATTGGATCCTGGCTTAAACAAATACATTTGAAACAGGTGCATTTGATAAGGAGAAGGTACTACAATATATTCATGAATTATTGTTCATTTTATTAGTTATAAAAGTGTTATGATTATGTAGTAAAATGGCCTTATTTTAAAAAATGCATGCTAAAATACTGTATGGAATACCTGAATGCTATTATATCTGTAATTTACTTTAAAATAGTTCACTTCAAAAAATTCAATGAAGGCAGCATAGCAAAATGTTAATTGTTGAATCTCAGTGATAATTTTATATGTGTGTTTATTGTACTAATCTATTTTTCTGTTTGAGGCTTCTTTGAAATTTTCACCATGAAATTTTTTTAAAGATTTTATTTATTTATTTTTAGAGAAAGAGGAAGGGAGGGAGAAAGAGAGGGAGAGAAGCCTCAATGTGTGGTTGCCTCTCACGTGCCCCCAGCTGGGAACCTGACTCACAACCCAGGCATGTGTCCTAACAGGGAATCAAACCGGTGACCCTTTGGTTCATAGACTGGTTGGTGCTTAGTCTACTGAGCCACACCAGCCAGGGCTGATCATGCAATTTTTTTAAGACTTTATTTATTTATTTTTAAGAGGGAAGGGAGGGAGAAAGAGAGAGAGAGAGAAACATCAATGTGCGGTTGCTGGGGGCCGTGGCCTGCAACCCAGGCATGTGTCCTGACTGGGAATCGAACCTGTGATGCTTTGGTCCACAGCCCGTGCTCAATCCACTGAGCTACACCAGCCAGGGCGCAATTTTTTAAAAAGAAGAAAAGAATAAAACCTATAAGCTTGGTTTTCAGATTAAGAGATAAAATATTGCAGATATCCTACATGTCTCTATCAAATCTTCTCTCTCTCTTCTCTATGTCCCAGTACCACTTATTAAATAATCTATCCTTTTTCTTCTTTTCTTTTTAAGTATTGATGTCATTTATGCTTTAAAATAGGTATTCCATTTACATGGTCTGAAACTTAGAAAGTACAAAAGGTAATACAATGCTGTGTCTTTATCCCGCCATCCTACCAGCTCATCCCTGAGCAGCTCAGTTATACAAACAAGTTAGTCTGTGGTAGTTACACTGTCGTTGCTTAGCTCACTGCTGCTCCTTAATTCATGGGTACAAACACACGCACTATACACCCTCACACACACACTCACTGCACACAGTCAGTGTGGACAACTTGCTTCTCAGCTTATCCTTTTCCTTCTGGTCTAAAATGCTTTCTCCTGACCCACTGGATTATGTTTCTGTTCTTGTACTTATACATCATGATTTTAACTAAAATACTTTATAATAAGGCTTGATATTTGCTAGAACAAGTTGTTCTGTTGCTCTTTGTTTTTTTTATTTTTAAGAGTATCTTGGGTATTCTTGAATCTTTGCTCTTCCATATAAATTTGCATGTATATATTCATCATAGGAAAAATATATATACATATATCATATAATGATATATATCATGTGATATATATTACAATCATATAAAATATGGTAGTATATATTCCTCTAGTATATGTGTCTGGGAGAGAGTTTACCATAAATATCTTTTTAAATTGAAATTTCTAATTGTTGCCTCTCCATAGCAGTGCACTTTACTTTTTACAAACTTTTATCTGAAAATTTTAAACATACACTATACTAAAGAGAATACTAAACTGAATCCCTGGGTAAATATCACCCAGTACCCACATTTTTACAAATGTTGTTTTCTCTATCCCACTTACCTCACCCCTATTGAATTTTGGATGTATTTAGAATAAATCCCAATAAATTGGACAAATTTATAGAAACTTAAAAATTTTCAAAACTGACTGAAGAATATATAGGAATCTAATTAGACCTATAATAAATAAAGTAATTTAGTAATTAAAAATCTTCTCACCCCATCCCACCCTCTGCCCCAAAAAAAGAAAAGCAAAAAAGAGCAGGTCAAGATGGCTTCACCGGTGAATTTTACCTGACATTTGAAGAAATAATACCAACACTCGACAAGCTCTTCCAGAAAATAAGGAAGGATGCAACACTTACCAACTCATTCCATGAGACCAGTATTTCTTTGATACTAAAACCAGAGAAGCAGAAGATTCTAGGTTATTATAAATGTTAAAAGTCCTCAACAAGATTGTTGAAAACTGAATCCAACAATATATAAAAAAAGATTACCTTGACCAAGTGGGATTTATCCTAGGAATGCAAGTTTGGTTTAGCATCCAAAAATCAATTAATATAATACGCCATATTAATAGAATAAAGAATAAAAAATACCTTGTCATCTCAATAGATGCAGAAAAAGTATATTTGACAAAATCCTATATTCGTTCATGCTAAAAACTCTTGAAATAGAAGGGAACTTCCACAGTGTAACAAAAAGCATCTATAAGAACCTGTAGTTGTCATCATACTTTGGAGTAGAAGACTAACTTTCCCCCTGAAACCAGGAACAAGGCAAGGATGTTCAATCTTACCTATTCTATTCAACAGTCTTGAAAGTTTTAGCCAGTGTAGTCAGGCAATTAAAAGAAATGCATCTAGAGTGGAATGGAAAAACTAAAGCTATCTCTTTGCAGATGACATGATCTTATATGTAGGAAACTGTAAGAAATTTCAACACATACCCTGAAAAGTACAAAAGAAATTGCTGAGGGAAATTAAAGATCTAAAAAAATGATGAGGTACAAGGAGACTAATATTGTTAAGGCAGTTCTCCCCAGACTGATCCATACATTCAAAGTATCCCCCATCAAAATTTCAGGGGCTTTTTTTCTCCTGCAGAAGTTGACAAGCAGATCCTAAATTTATATGGCAATGCAAAACACCTAAAATAGCCAAAATGGTTTTGAAAAGAAAAAAAACATAGAGGTGTTTGACTTTCCTATTTCAAAATTTATTATAAAGCTACAGTTTTCAGGACAGTCCAGGACTACCATAAGGCCAGACAGATAGATAAAACAATGGGGCAGAACCGAGTCCAGAAGTGAATCTTTGTCACTTACTGATTTTTTACAAAAGTACCAAAGCAAAAGGATAGTCTGTTCAGCAAATGATGCTGGGACAACTGGATATCCACATTAAAAAAAGATGAATTTAGACCCTCACCTCACACTATACTCAAAAAAATTAACTCAAAATAGACTTAAATATCAGAACTAAAACAATGAACCTTGTAGAAGAAAGGAGAAAATCTTTGAGACCTTTGGTTAGGCAAACATGTCTTAGATACAATACTAAAAGCATAGTCAATAAAAGAAAAAGTTGACAAATTGAACCTTATCAAATATCAAAAAGTTTGCACTTCACAAGATACCATTAAAAAATAAAAAGATAAGTAACACACTAGTGTAAAATATTTTCAAAACACCCATCTGTTAAAGGACTTACATCCAAAATATATGAAGAATTCTTACAACTCATTAATAAGACAAATAACCCAATTTGAAAAATGGGTAAAAGTGCAGACATTTCACTAAAGAAGCTGTGAAAATGGCTCATAAGCACATGAAAAGATGTTCAACATCATTAGTCATTGGGGAAATGCAAATTAAAATCACAATGAGATACCATCCACACTATTATAACCTAGAATGACTATAATAAATAAGACAGACAAGAACAAATCTTGGCGAGGATGTGGAGAAATTGGAACTCTCACACACTGTTGGTGGGATTGTGAAATGATTCAGCCACTTTGGGAAACAATCTGGCAGTTCCTCAAAAGGTTTAGCATGGAATTACTATAGGACACAGAGATTTCACTCCTAGGTTCATAACCAAGGGAACTGAAAACATGTCTACTCAAAAATGTGTAGGCAGATATTCATTGCAGCAATTTTCGTAATAACCAAAAAGTAAAAATAATCCAAATGTCTACCGGCCTGATGATTGGATAGATAAATATGTTCAGTGGTGGGATGATAGATAATTTTCTAAAAGTTATTTTCTTCAGTGACTAACATTAAATTTTTAAAAATAACCTTTAAAGTAAAAGTGAAGGAGAGAATTGATGAGCCATTGGACTAAGGCCCGGATGTGCCCTGAGGATCCTGCCTAGGACACGTTATTTCTCCAGTGCAGATCTGCACTTGTCTCATTTCATACTGTGCTTAGTACTGACTGGCAACAATTCTGTCATTTAGGTAACTATAAATTTATTTTACAGATAAGGAAACTGAGGCATAGAAAGATTAATTTTAGGGTTGTTTAACTAGAAGTAGTGAAGTTAAGTTTTGAAGTCAGTCATTCAGACTATGCAGTCTCTACTCTTCAGCCTCCAGATTCTCCTACAGTGACGCTTTCCTTCAGATATCTTTCTTATGTTGTGTTTTGTTTTCCTACACAGGGCTCCAGATTTTATGAAAATGAGCTCAAGAAAGAAAAGCAAGTCAACCAACGAATTGAAACTATGATGCAACAAAAAGCTCAAATTACCAGCCAACAGCTAAGGAAAGCACAATTACAGGTATTAATTTATTTGGTAAATAAAGTGGCAGCTGGAATAATAGTAATTGATGGTTTAAATGCATTATGGTCATGTTATCAGCAAAAACAAGATAAAATGTAAATAAAATGTTTGTTATACTATAAAACAAAAATGTATACTTTATTTTGTTAAAATTGCTTTACTTTACATAAAGACCTCACATCTAGACATTATCACTTTCATTGTACAGAAGAGAGAAAGGAGCCTTAATTAGGTTAAGTAACTTGCCTAGCTTCATATGACAATTAGTTGGCAAAGCCAGAGCTTACGTTCTTTTTATTATATACGTATTAAGCAGCTGGAAGGATCACGGGATTAATGTGACGTGTTTTCTGCATTGCTGATTTTGCAAAAGATATTTGGAGGAACATGTTAACTAATTAAATTAAAAGGTAATTTAAAACATAATTGTGTTATAGTAAAACAAAGTCACCTGAAGGGTAGAAGGCCTTATGTGCATGTATTTTTAAGATAAAACACAATGTTTTATGGTAAGTTTATCAAATCAGATTCAATTTAACAAAGTACTTTATAACATAATGATAAAATTATAGTATTAATCTGATATGCTATAAAATTGTTCTCGTGATAGAGCTGAGATCATAAATTTTATGTTTTCTTTACCAAACTATAATGTGTGATTTTTTTAAACATATGCTTTCTCAGAGCACAAGCTAATTTTTTATCTTCTGTGTTAAGTGGCCTGCTACCATGACAAGAGATTGACTTGTCTGTCAAATCATCATTTTTAGTGCTCCATAGCGTGCCACTCTATGGAGGCACCATAATTAGTTTACCTTAACCCACCCTGGTTCCAGTTTTTTGTTTTAGATACAAGATTGTAACAGTCATTCTTACTTATATGTCTTTGCACTCCTGTCCTGTTAATTTCACCACAGGTTGAATCATTTTACAATTTCAGCGTAAGAGTGCTGGTTTCCTCACATGTTTAAAGTTGGATTTGATCAATTTTATCATTATTTTACTTTCTGCTGATACAGTGTCCAAAATCTTATTTCATGGTTGGTTTAATTTGCTCTCATTTGATCATGAAAGAGACAGATTACCCTTTTTTGTAATTGAATTTATTGGGATGACATTGGTTCACAAAACCATACAGGTTTCAAGTGTACAACTCAACAAAAATCATCTGCACACTAAATTGTGCACCCATTGCCCAAAGCAAAGACTCTTTCGGTCATCCTCATTTATCCCCCTTTTGCCCATCTCCACCTACCTGACCTCCCTTTCCCTCTGGAAGTCACTACACTGTTGTCTGTGTCTCTGTGATGTGATGTGTGTGTGTGTGTGTGTGTGTGTGTGTGTGTGTGTGTTTCTTTTGTTTAATCCCTTCACCTTCTTTCATCTAGCCCTCCAATCCCCTCCCCTCTGACAGCTGTCAGTCTGTTCTGTGTATCCACGCCTCTGTTTCTATTTTGTACGCTAGTTTATGTTCTTTAGATTCCACATATAAGTGAGATCATATGGTATTTGTCTTTCTTTGCCTGGCTTACTTCACTCAACATAATAATCTCTAGGTCCATCCATGCTGTCACAAAAGATAATTGTCTTTTTACACATTTGTTAGCCATTAATATTTCCTTTTTGTGGGAATTTCCTCTTTTATTCTATTTGTTAGGACATAGGCTAAATAACTGGCACAAGAGACCCAAAGATATAATGCTCCAAATAAGATAAGAATTTCTTTCTCTCTCACATAATACATAAGTAGTCCCAGCTGGCTGGTAGTTCTGATCACCGTAGTAATTTCAAGACCCAAGTTCTGCATCACGCTGTTCCATCATTCCAAAGTGTTATCCTCACTGGGATTGACAAAACTGGGTTAGCCCCAATCTAGATTCCAGCTCCTAGTAAGGAAGAAAGAAAAAGGGAAAAATCAAAAGCAAACTATTTGCTATTACACAGTGAAAAAGGAGTTGCACACATCAGTTCACATTCTTTTGGCAAGAATTTAAATTTCACGTCACACCTAAATGCAAGAGAAGCTGTAAGATATAGCTGGGTGGCCACATGCCCAGCTAAAACTTTATTACTATAGGAGGAAGAGAGAATGGATTTGGGGGTTCAGCTAGCAGTCCAAAGAAACACACTCTTGTCTACATTTCTAGAAGAGTTTGTATCTTTTTTTCCTTGATTTATTGATCTTATATGTTAAGGACTTTTTTTCTGCCATTTGTCATAAATATTTTTCCTGTTTGTTTTCTCTTAACTTTGCAGAGTTTTTTTTCTCTATATATGGTTTTAAATGTTTATGTAAATATCAAACAGTACTTTTAAAAATTTTCTTAGTTTTGGTATTGTGCATAGAGGTTATTCCTCACAAACAAGCCTGTATGTGCTTTTAATATTTTTACAGATTTTGTTATAATCAAATCTTTAGTCTCTTTGGAATTTGTTTTGCTGTAAGGTGTGAAGTATTTTTTCTTAAATAGTGAGTATTATATTTTCCCTGAATGGTATTATTATTTCTAAATAATGATTCTCTTGTCCCGACATCATTTATTGAATCATGAGTCTTTTCTCCACTGAGTTGAAGAGGCATGTTCATATACTAATCTCTCATTGTAGTTGGATTTATTTCTGGACTCTCTTTTCTAATCAACTGAATCTTTTCCTCTTTCAGTACCATGAATTTTAATTATTAAAGGATAATAATATAGTTTAATATCTTTACTACTCTTTAAAAAATTATTTTTTCTCATGCATTTTTAAAATAAATTTAAGCATCATTTCATCAAGCTTTTAAAAAAATTCTATTCTGTCCATAACAATATTGTTTTTAAATTGACGTTAATCCTTAAGCTATTTACTTTTTACTATTGACCTTTTTTTGGTAAGCTTTATTGCTCTATAGTTTACAAATATTTTTTATTAAGTTTTAAAGATATACATGTGAGTGGTGCAATATAACAACTTTTTACTGTTCATACTCATATTTTAGAACTCATAGTTTTAAATATCCTGATAATATGGAGGAAAAGAAAATAACTTTACATTGTGGAATAGAACTTCAGATTTTGTTACTGTTTTAGTTGACTATTTCATGGGAGGCTTTCTGGCATCTTTTGCAAGGGGAATGGCAGGAAATGTGTTTTGTGTTGATTATTAAATTGTTTTGTTTTTTGAGAGCTTCCTTTAAAAAGCTTGTATAAATGGGAGGGGATTGAGGAAATCCTAAGGAGTCTAGAAGTTCTGAGAGAACAGAGAAGTTTTCATAGGAAATGCTTTTCTATTTTAGAGTTACAAAATTTCCAAATAGTAGATTTTATTATGTGTCATAAGATAGCATGAACTATTGCCAGTCAAGCTGATGTAAGTAATTTCTGTAGTCATGGACTCCCATGATTTGTATTCAGAACCTCTCTAAATATCCCCAACCCCATCTTCATTAGATTACTTCTAGGCACGTTTTTTGTATCTTCCAAAACATCTTGTTATAAATGTGTTCATAATTGAATAGATTAATATCCATATTATAGTAAATGGCAACTGCACAGCCAGTCAGTGCATTTTGACCATTTTAACAATTGATTTTATGAACTCAGATTTACTCAATAATTTTTAGGGTACTACTAATTAAAAAAATGAAAAACAATATTTCTTGAAATAGTCTCCTAGATGTAATAGATAAAAGGATTTTTAAAAAGATGTAATATGGATATAAAAATATCACATCAGAGTTTGGTTTCAGCTCATTTCAGTGATAAAAACTTTTAAAAATCGATTTTAGGGAAGCATTAATTAATGGAAAGAGCACAGACTTAGGAATAACCTGATTTCCAGGTCTAGTTTTAACATTTACCAGCTGTATGACTTAGGGCAAATTTACTTAATTTTACTGAGTTTTAATTTCCTTATCTATGAAATGGGAATAATGATCATTATCTTAAAATTATTTTGGCCATTAAATGCATTAACATAAGAAGCACTTATAATATACACATGTCATATAATATAATCAGTAAATGTCATTTCTACTTTCAAAATAATGGATATTATCATTAAGCCCTTACCATAGCCCTGGATAAGTTCACTACGTGTGTGTCTATTTTAATTATTTCAACCTTTCAATGTTGCTTTAGTGCCATTTCACAAGTAAGGAAAGTGAGGACGGGAATCATTTGGAAGGAATAAATAAATGGAAGAAAGGAAAACATGAAGGAGGATTTCAGTAGAAGGAACTTGAGAAAAGCAAGGGTGGGCATTTGCTAGATTGGAAAGAGAAGAGTGCAGAGAAGGGTGACTAATGAGAGATAGTGAAGGAAAATGGAACGTATGAGTCATTGGTGGGGAGGTTTCCTTTTGGCAACTGCTCACTTGCTGCAGGCATCAACAGTCAGTAGATTGCTGAAGAAGCTGCCACAATTTTAATTTATGAGTCTAAGGAGAATTTTCCCCATTTAGTTTGCTTTCTATTTATTATCTTTTTCCTTTCCAGTGATTCTGGGTTAAGATATTTCAGATGTTTCTCTTTTCTCAATCGACTTTATCTTAGGCATATTTCCTGGATTAATAGTTTTCAGACCCTTGTTTTTATTAGTTTCCATGATTTGCTTACATCTTTTTTTTTATGTCAGGTTGCTATTCTGTAGTTTAAAATTGAACTGGAAGAATAGTTGTTTTAAATCTATATGATAAATTAGATTAATGTTGGAAGGTTTCATTTATTAGGTGTGGTATCTTGCTGAATGAGATCAGACTTCTCCAAAATTTTTCTATGAATACTGCCTTCTTTTTTTAACTTTCATATATAATGAATTGTATAAATTTTATTCCTTTTCTCCCCCCTTCTCTCTTATGAGGAAAGAATTTAAAGGCAGATAAGTTCTTTCTCCTCCTTATCTGAGATAAGGTCTCTTCTTAGGTACTGAACTCACAATTTAGTCTCTAATGCAATAAGTGCCATTGTAAGAACAGAAAAACAAATAAGGGAACATGAAATTCTGTGATACAGAGGACAGAGATTCAGTTAAGTTTCAGAGACACTTCTGAACTGATACTCGAAGACTCTGTGACAGAACTAGGAAGGGCATTTTAGACAGAGAAACAGGCTAAAAAAGGCAGGGAGCACCCCAGGTTGTTCAGTGAGTTGCAACCTAAATAGGAGCAGACCTCTACAGAGTCTTACTGTGGCTACTAGAGACAAATGTGGTTCAGTGCCTTGTGTCTAAAAGAGACTTTGCAGTCGTAACCTGCAGCTGGTGGGCACCTAGTGTCACTCTAATGCTCACTATAATGCTAACAAGCAATGCTAGAAGCAAGTTTCAAGTTCATCGAGGGGAAAAGCTAAATTATACCCCTGTAACTCTCTGCCTTTGAGGAAACCTACTATGGGGATTTCTACGTAATGGAAATTGCTTTTATTCCAATCACCCTACTTACACATTTCTGGCTGTTTTCCCCTAAATTTTTTATTGTTTTATTATGCAGCTAGCCATTGATCCTTTTAGTAATAGATTGCATTTATTGAACTTGTACCACGTGCCAGCTACTCTTCGTGTTGTTTTTGTATTCCATCGCCCTCAATAGCTTTCTAACCTCTCTTCTTATAATTTTATGAGTTTTATTGACTTCATGTGTTTTGTAGATCAAACGTTCACAAAACCACCCTCAACTAGAGGGAACCTGAGAAAGTGCATATTTAGCTTCTTCAGCCTCTATAGTAGAGGCTATGAAAAAAGAACCCTTGGGAATGGGTATGTTGGCTACATACACCCTTTTCTTACTGCCCCACTTTGCTTATCTCTTCCCCTTTTAATTTCTTCTTATCAATCCAATTATTTTTCTCTAAAGAAACAAAAAATTCTTTATAATGTAATACTCTTTACTGTTATATTTGGCATTTATATTGAAATTTTATGAAAGGATAAATTATACTTTAAATTTTCCATTTGATTTGTATGGACTAACGTTACCAAATTTTAGCCTTATAAAAGCAGTTCTAGGGAGGGAATGTTTAGATATACTTTGGTATAATCTTTTGTTATTCATTTCCTTTGTTGCTATTTTAAGACATGAATATTGTGAGTCAGATGGAAGCAGTTGTTTATTTTACCTGAACTAAAGTTTTTAGTTACAATATGTCCTCCAAATTTATAAAGCAGTAGAATCATTTGATATAAGCAGTTGGAATAGTTCATTCATTCAATAAATGTTAAGTATCTCTTACACTTGTGGGTATTGAGAAATGTAAAAGTTGGTAGGGAATGATAGTTGAGAACAGAGTGCTTCTTTATGAAAATTAAAGCAATTATCAGCCTTAATACAACAAGCAAATACACATACATGGGTGGATGGATGGGTGGGCGGATGGATGAATGCTAGATGGATAGATGAACAGAGACAGATAAACAGATGCCTAGTAAAAGATTAATGTTATGATTAGTAGTGTTACAATATTATGTTGTCAGAAGTTCATTAACTTTTTAAAAATTAAGGTCGACAGATGTGCAATGGAATTAGAACAGAGCCGGGACCTGAACAATACCATAGTGCACATTGACATGGATGCTTTCTATGCAGCTGTGGAAATGAGGGACAATCCAGAGCTGAAGGATAAACCCATTGCTGTAGGATCATCTAGTATGTTGGTAAGTAGATAAAGACAAAAAGTAAATTTCATAATATATTCAAGTAAGCCTTACTGGTTTATGAAGTGGAAAGACTTTATTGAATTCTACCAGTTTACTGAGTATTTTTCTGGTTTCTCTATGTGTTCAATTGCTGGATCCTTTCAATATCCCTTAAGGTACAGATTTTCGTTTCCACTTGACAGATAAGAAAATGAACTCAGAGAAGTATTTTATAACTTCCCTAAATTTTCAAACCTGGTAAATGGTAGAGAGGCATTATATCTTTCTGTTGCAAATTATATTTTTTAAGTATAAGGGAGGACTCCAAAAAACCAGAACTGTCTTCTGGAGAGCGGGCCATTTGTAGTATAGGCTTCCCCACTAGGAACCCATCTGTATCGTTGTTGTAAGAGGTCATATTTTGGCTTCAGTGAATTTTTTTTTGAAGACTCTTTCATTGTGCTTGCCTGTTTCATGATGGGTGATTTATGAGCACACCTGCCCACATGGAGCTGAGTATTCAGCAGTTTTTGACCAATAGTGGCATGACCCCCAGGCCCTCCCCTCCCTATTCACTGATATCACCCTAAGCGTCTTTTTTATCCCCCCCTTTTTTTTTGTTTCCCCTAATAAAAAATGTCCTCAAAGGACATACAGAGGATCCAGAGACACATGAAAAAATGCTCAGTATCGCTAGCTATCAGAAAGATGCAAATTAAAACCACAATGAGATACCACTTCACGCCAGTCAAAATGGTCATCATAAACAAAGCAACAAACAAGTGTTGGAGAGGATGAGGAGAAAAGGGAACCCTAGTGCACTGTTGGTGGGATTGCAGACAGGTACAACCATTATGGAAAAGAGTATGGAATTTTCTCAGAAAACTAAAAATGGATCTGCCTTTTGGCCCAGCAATTCCACTGCTAGGATTATACTCTAAGAACCCTGAAACACCAATCCAAAAGAACCTGTGCACCCCAATGTTCATAGCAGCACAATTTACAATAGCCAAGTGTTGGAAGCAACCTAAGTGTCCATCAGGAAATGAATGGATAAAAAAACTAGGGTACATTTACACAATGAAATTCTATGTAGCAGAAAGAAAGAAGGAGCTCCTACTCTTTGCTACAGCATGGATGGAACTAGAGAAAATTATGCTAAGGGAAATAAGCCAGGTGGCGAAAGACAAATACCATATAATCTCACCTTTAACAGGAACCTGATCAACAAAACAAACAAGCAAGCAAAATATAACCAAAGACACTGAAATAGAGAACAGGCTGACAGTGTTCAGAGGAAAGAGGGGAGGGAATTTCAGGGGAATTTCAGGGGAAAAGGGGAAGGGTTTGCAGGAAAAAGTATAAAGGACACATGGACAAAAATGGGGGTGAATGGGAGGGAGGTGGGGATGACTTGGGGGGCTGGGATGGGAGTAAAAGACAGAAAACTGTACTTGAACAACAATTAAAATTTTAAAAAAAGAAAAAAAGACAAGAAAAATGTCCCCAAAGGGAAATGTTTTGCTGATGTGGAAGAGGTGAAACAAAAAAAAAAAACTGTACTAAAAGGCATTAGAATTGACAGTTCAAAAACTGTTTTGAGCAGTGGAAAAAAATGTCCCAATAGGTGTATTTCATCAAATGGAGAATACTTTGAAGGTAATTGAAGTTTAAACATATAAGAATAAATAAACAACTTTTTATGAATAAATTCCAGGGTTTTTAGGGCTCACCTTGTAACTGTTCTGGTTAAAGAAAATTGAAGAAAAAGGAAAAATGATATTATAATGCTGAGGTTTGCAAACAATGTCCTGTGTGCCAAATCCAGTCTGCCACCTTTTTTGTAAATAAAATTTTACTGAAACAGTCACACCCATTATTAATTTATTATTGTTGTTTCACTAAAAGAGCTTAGCTGAGTGCTTGCAATAGAGACTGTATGAATGTATAGCCTAAGTAATTACTGTCTGGACCTTTACAGAAAATGTTTGCCAGCCAGTTCTAGAGTAACATATATCATTGATGTAGTACTGTAATTAAGTAGTTTCTCCCTTGACTTGGAACCTTTGCTTTTCTGATTACTATCTTGTTCTTCCTTATTTCCAGCCTGACCATAAAAGGTAAAGATGACCAAGATAGCCATATGTAGCTAAAAATGTGTTGGGAATTAAAAGTAGAACTGGAATAGATGGGTTTTGGTATTAAAAAAACATGCAAGAGAACAAGGAAAGTTCTTCCCTGTCTCCTAACGTCTTCCAATGCCTTAGCTATAAACCTAATTCCTACTAAGTTGTTATTTTATTACAAAACTATAATCTGTTCATTATCTCTGCTCCCATGAGTATGTAGGCAACTAATAGTCCTATTCCCAAAACAGTGTTTATGGGAAGGATACTTCCCTTTCCTATAAATCATCAACTAATATTTTAATAAATATATTCAATTTCATTAGGAATTTATAATACTAGGCCCTGGCTGGGTAGCTCAGTCAGTTAGAGTGTCATCCCCATACACCAAGGTTGCAGGTTCAGTCTCCTGTCAGGGCACATACAAGAATCAACCAGTGAATGTATACATAAGTGGAACAACAAATTGATGTTTCTCTCTTTCCCCTTGTTCTCTCTCTCTCTAGAATCAACAAATAAAAAATGAAAAAAAAAATAATGCTATATATAATATATGAGTATATATTTATAACATATATTAAATTATGTGTGTATGCTATACATGCAAATATATAGTATATAGATGCATACTATGTGTGTATATTTACATATATGCACACATATGCCTGTGTGTGTGTGTGTGTGTATACATATATTTACACCCATGTGTCATAGTCCTGTTAAAGCTAACCCCACTGTTAAATTCACAAAACATTTCTTTCCTATAATTTTTATCCTCCTAACAATTGGTTAATGTTTCCAAATTCAAAATGATTATCTGTTATATTTGAACAAAATTACTCCCCTTGTATGTATGCTGACCTAATAGATTTTCCTTCTAATGAGATTTGAAGCTTAATTGTTTTTGTCCTATTAAACTAATAAAAATGTATCTTTGCAGTAGTGGTTGTGGTGACACAGATTTGATTAACACAGTCTGTTACAGTTAGAATTCTTTTTGAATAAATTTGATGGATGCTTGAAATGTTTAAGTTAACACTCATAGTTAGAACTTAGACCCTGTAGCACTTATTTGTTGCTGCATAATGAACCCCTTCAGTACTTAGTGGACAACCATTTATTTATAGCTCATGATTCTGTAATTTGAGCAGAGTACAATGGGGATGGGGATGGATAATCTCTATTCTACCTGGGGTTGGCTAGAGCTGTTTAGCTGAGGCTGCAGAGTCCAAAATGGCTTCACTAACATGCTCAGCACTTTGGCTGACTGAGGTGGCAGGAATGGCTTCCAGTCATTCAGCTTCCCCCTCTCATGGTACATTATTATTCATTAATCTAACCTAAGGTCTTTACATAGTTGCAGGATCCCAAAAATACAAAGGCTGAGGCTAGGTGACTTTGTGACACCTAGGCTTCATGGCTCACATAATGTCACTCCCTCACATTTTTTCGGTCAAAGCATGTCACAATGCAAGTCACTTGGCATGAGGAACTAGAACCCACCTTTTGATAGGAGGAACTGTAAAATACTGTGGCTATGATTTACCATCTACCACAAACCTAAAAGTTAAAGGAAGTCATATCTAAAATTTTGTTTCTAGTCTACTGTAGATCTAGCTTTTATATCAATTCCATTAGACTTCTTTATATTTAAGCATTAGTTTGCCATTCTAGTGCCATCTGCATTTTTTGTTCCAGAATACTGACCATGGATTACACAGTTTAGAATACTATCAGGGTTTTTTTAATGCTATTTAAAAAAACATTAACGGCTATTTAATATTATTATTCTGAAATAATTACTCCATTTGACAGATTCTGCTTTGCATTTCTTTCACTTTGCACTTAAAATTCCAAACAGAGATTTCATTTGTGATGAAAACTATGGTCTACCATATTGACAGAGACTGTTGCCAGGTGTCATTTATAGGATTTAATGAGTAATGTCCTCCTCTTTACTCTCAGTTTTTTACTTCTATCTCCTAGTCAAAATGTTTTCACCAAAGAAGATATTCAAGTCTTAAGAAATAAAACTTAACTTTTAAAGTTCTTTTAAGGTTTTATTACTTCATTTTGGAGATTTAATTTTACTGACCATATATTAGACCTTTGATTTTTGTTCTAGATGAAAAATTTCCAAAATTCCAAATAGACCAAATTTCAAATATGTACTATTATACCATATGGTTACTTTCCATACTATTAATTGCATGTACCATCTATGTTGTTTGCACTATGTTACTTTATAATTATATTTTACTATTATTACTATATTCTTACTACTTTTTAAATATTTTTAAAAAAAATTTAAATTCTCGCCTGAGGTCATGTTTATTGATTTTAGAGAGAGAGGAAGGGACAAATAGAGAGAGCAAGAGAGAACATCAATGTGAGAGAGAAACATCATCAGTTGCCTCCTATGTACACCCTGACCAGGGATGGAACCTGCAACCTAGGTATGTGCCCTGACTGGGGATCAACGTCCAACCTTTTTGTGTACAGGACAACGCTCCAACCAACTGAGCCACTTGGCCAGGGCTCTACTCTTACTTTTATGTAATATCACCCACTATCATCCAAACTTTGATATATAGTACTATATTATGGGTATGCCTTAAAACCAATGAAGTTTAGTTACTGGAAATATAAAGGAACCTTTTTATTAACACAATCTTGCTTATTACCTGGTGTCACATTATAAATACAGGACAGCAGTGAGAGAGTCATGCTATCGTAATACAAACCATGATAGGATAAAAATAAGCTTGATTTGAGACAGTGACCAATAAAAGAAATGTCCTTGAATTGAAAATGCACATCAGTAATGTGTTTCTTTTGAATGTATTGATCAATATGTTCATTTAGGTTTCTATATTTTTTCCCATGTGGTCCATTTTCTTTCAGAGTACCTCAAATTACCATGCAAGGAGGTTTGGAGTTCGTGCAGCCATGCCAGGATTTATTGCTAAAAAACTCTGCCCACAACTTACTATAGTGCCTCCAAACTTTGACAAATACCGAGCTGTGAGTAGAGAGGTAAGGCTAATGAATGTCTCACCCCCTACTTATTTATAGCCTTTCACTGATTTCCTGCACCTACAAAGTCAAGTCCACATGCCTTTACATGTAAGAATTTGGCCTTAGGAATTCATCCTTCTATTTCCCAGTTCTTTGCTCTTCCACATGTGATTTTCATCTGCTTAGAAAACTCTGTCTCCCCAGAAAATTTGGAATTGCCTTAATTATAACCTAAATTAACTTTAGCTTTTTTTCCTTAATGTGCACTATACATATGGACTCTACCTAATATTTATAATTTACAGAATCTACTCAAGTCGGTAATTTGAACCTCTTTTCTGAATAATTTTTTTATCCATGTTTTTAAACAGGAGCACACTTCACTTATTTTGATTAGCTACTTTCCTTGGCCCACAACCTAGTAAAGATGCTTATGAGCATTTAATGTCTAGGAGACTGATAAAGAAAAAAGGGAATAATCTATTGCTTTGAAAAGGATCTCCGAAGTATAAAGATTTGATTATACATTAAAATTGCCTAAACTATCATGTACGAAAAACTGCCATTTTCTCTATTTTTGATAACTTAGCTATCATAGCAGTGCTGGAATGTAAGTCATAAATTAAAATTTTATAATGCTACCTCAAACACTTTAGACAATTGAGGTAAAATGCAATGTGTTATAGACTGCTGTCTGAATTGAAACATTGAAAAAACCATGGCCGAGTACTTACTCTCTTTTAGTCATGCAGATGGTCTTTAGATTCATTCCTCTCATTTGTATTCCACCTAATTTCCCCTAGAAATGAACCCCCCCAAAATTAAAATGATATCCCTCATAAGTTTTTTTTTTAAATTTATGAACAGTCTGTGGCAGCGAGCACTTTTGCGCCTACCTCTGGTAGGGGTGAGTTGGAGAAACACATTCACATTTGGTTACTGCTTATCCGTTTTACTGTATTCCTAATTAGAAAGAGATAAAATGCTGACGTATGATAAGGTAGGCCTTTAATAAATTTGAAAATCTTTCAAAGACTTTGTAAGAAAGATTTTTTTAAGTTCTACTTTAATTCAATAAAACTTTGGACAGTATGACAAGAACTAAATTGTTTTTAGTTATCTTTAGTTATTTGCATAAGTTGGAGAAATCTTTCTTCAAATTTCAGTAGGATCTAGCTAGTTTATTTGCAGATAACAAAAGGGTTTTTATGTGTAGATGAACTATAGCATAAATTCCCTGACTATAAATATATTAATATTTATGCCTTTGTTTATAAGTTTAGGGAAAGCCATTTTGTTTCATTCAAAAGAATGGGATAGCTTGAAGTGTTCTTGAAGCCTAAGTACTTGCTATTTACTGGAACATGTCTATTCTCATTCTTAAAGCCATGTCCTGTGTAAAGGAAGTTAGTGAGTACTCTGCCTCTGAGGAGTACTGTTCATTCAGAGTAATCTTAGTCGCCTGCCAACTACAGACTTTCCAGAGTTTCATTTTCACTAGAAAGATTCTTTTTGAATACATCATAAAAACAGTTTCTTCTATAAGAACAGAGTTAATTAAGGTTCTCTCTGAGCAAAGCATAGCCAAGTTTTATGTCACCATTTTCTAAAATTACCTTTCACTCAGCTGTTCATACTTATATTAAGCTAAAAAGCTTTCTTTTTATAAATCATAAAGAAAGGCTTTCTCCTGGTGCAGCAGACAGCTTTTAAATACTAGATGGAACCATAACATAATTTAGCAAGTATGTTTTTCTAACATACATATTATTTTGGCAACCATTCCCTCTAATTTCAGCTAATATTTCAGAGGTTAAGAAATAAAGAAAAAATAAATAGGTGAATGAGTAAAAAAAAATTGGTTTCATGAGTAATAAAACTATCTTATGTAAAAGTCATTTCTGGAATCATACAGAGATTCTGATCTCTCTATTTCTGTTATTTCTGTTATTCTAAGATACAACTCCAGACTTCTCTCCATCATTTGTTTCAGCCACAGGCACTACAGATTTTTGTCATCTTTTTCACTATAAATCCTGATGATTGAGCTCTGTTTTCTTGAATGGATATATGCATTAATGTGTGTATTGAGTGGAGTTTTATGTGCATGTTATAATTAATTGAAATAGAACTAGTTTCGAAAGCAACATAGTACCATTATGTAAGATTATTCCTTTTAAAAATATACAAAAACCATCATAAAAGGTGAGGGGGAACAGGATCCTATTATTCCTTCCTACTTCCACTTTTGATCAACTACTTAGAATTGCAGTGGTTAACCATTTTTTCTGTGCCTACCAGAATGGTGTTGTCTGAGACTTATTTAAATCACTTGCTATATCTAGATATAGGTGGCTAAATAGAGGTTGTATCAAATAAACCTGGTCTTCTGCATTCATGATCTATTTTCATATGGAAGAGAATTTGGACAAGTTTGCCCTGGCAGTAAATCATTTATTTCCTAAATCCATGAACTATTGATTGCAGGGTTGTTACTATAGTTGCAAAGTAAGAATATAATTTTTTTATTAGCTGTATGTAACAGATTTTGTTATGGCAGCAAACATTAAACTATTTTGTTCATTTTGAAGGTTAAGGAAATACTTGCTGATTATGATCCCAATTTTATGGCCATGAGTCTTGATGAAGCCTACTTGAATATAACAACGCACTTACAGGAAAGACAAAATTGGCCTGAGGACAAAAGAAAATATTTCATCAAAACAGGGACCTCTCTAGAAAATGGTAAGCAATTTATTAGAACAATCAAACTAACAAACAAATAAAAAACCCTTTGAATTTGAATTAACCTAGTTAACCTATTAGCATGCATAGGTTGTAGGACTAGCTAGCTATACTTTATTATGAAAAATTATTAAAAATGAAAAATCAGAAACTTATAATATACCAATAGGTTTTCTGAGTTAAATATGTGAAATGCTACTTAAACCAAATGCAGTTGTTAGATATCTAGACTTTAAGACTGTGCAGAGTCCCTGAATAAAGCCATTTCATAGCAGTTCTTTTCCTAAAATCGAACTAACAAAGGGTTGGAATACATTGAATCTGAGGGGCTTATCTCCTTAAAGTGGCCTTTTGTTATAATTGCAAATAGTTTCTTTAAAATTTGCTTCAAACATATCACAACATTGGGTATTTTTTTCCTTCATTTCCCAAATGAACAATTCCCAACTCCCTTTTTTTGCCTTAGACCTTACTTTTATTCTTTTATATATGATGAAGCAGAAGTTTCATGACCCAGAGGATTTTTTTTTAAAATGGTCCCCTTATTACCTATCCAGAATGATACCAAGAAACATGAAGATATTATGAATACTGCTTTCAGCCTTCTCTCATACTTATGATTATTTCAAATATTTGAGGGGTCCTGGGTTCCTGAGCCAAGTTCACCTGGATTAAAAGGTAGAAACAGAGGGTTTTTGCTCACAACGACAGCCACATTCCATGTGCACAACGCACTGACAGCTTCAGCGGGCACCACTGTCTGTGCCCCCAAAGCAAAAGCAGTGGGCCCTCGATGGCAAAAACTCTAACTCTTACATTGCTTGGGTCTCAAATCTTTGGAGCCGCTTCTCTACCTTCTTTACAGTTCTAAGAGGTAAGTCTCTTTAATAGAAACATTAAAAATAAACAAGGATGATTTCTGCACAGAGGCTTGGAACAAAACATTTTATTTCCGTAGTTTAACTGGATTGTTTGGGGAAGTGGCACAAAAAGCCTCACGTCACTTTGCTTAAATTTTCACTTTGTTATTTCCTTACTTTTCACAAGAGAAAGGGGTGGGGGGCATTAAATGATTATGTCAAAGCATCCCCTGGGGGCCTTCTATAACAATTACTTTCATATATGTTTTTTAAAAGTTACATGGGGACTAAGGTCAATGATTTCATTCTCTACTCATGTTCTTTTTATTTATTATAATGTGTCTAGAATCACTATGAAGATGTGAATTTTTAATATCTGTTGTTTTAACATATTTATGTATTCCTATTCTTATGTTTCATACTCTTAAGCAATTTAAATAGCTTGACTTTTTTTGAAATATATAAGTATCTGTGGGCTGACTCTCGAGCATATCTGATTTCCCATTGTGCCATGGGAAGCCGAGAGTTGGAGCCATGCAGGTGATTCAATGCAGCTTCCTCTAAAGTCCAAGACAGTTTTCTGCTGTTTGCCCCTTTTCTAAAAGATGTGATCTTTGGAAAAGTATTGCTAACTACTATGTGTATATACAAATAAAATAATTATTTTATGTTTATTCTGCCATGTAAATCTGAATCATGAGTGTCAAGGAATATGTGAAATTAAAATACTGTACATTTTTAGCACTTTGCCATCCAAATGGATGTTTTAATCCTAGTGTTTCAGATTATAAGAAACCTTAGTTCTTGACTCTGACCCACCTCAGTTAGGGGATTGTAAGGATATTTCTTTCAGAAAGCAAATAAGAAACCACTTTGGCATTTACTTGCTCATCCATGCCTCACAGAGAAGTAGACAGACTCGAAAGGTAACTATGCCGTCACTCAGCAGCTCTAACAATGAAACTGAAGGCTGCATGCTTTGCTTCCTGCCATATGTAGTGTTCTACTCTCAGTGTGACTCACCCAAGGGCAGGGTGATAGAGCCACGAGGAACATAAAAATGGCATGAGGGCTCTTCAGAAGGGACTTGTGAATAGGACAGGTGTATAATACCTTACTTGAGCTGCAGTTTTTCTTCTCTCTTTGCCTTGACTTCCACCCATCCAGGTGGGGACAGGGGGTCTAAGTAAATAGCATTTCAACCACCAGTCTTAATTCCCTCTGAATTGCTTTGCAATTTAAATCAGAACATGGCAAATGGAAGGAACTGAAGTACACAAGTAACAGCTAATGTAAGGCTTATTTCGTAATGGCCTAGGGATTCAGATTTGGAAAACATCTCTCTGTAACTTAATTTGTATTGTATATTTTAAAATTAGAAATGAATCAGATGTTTGTCATATTGCTTATATTATCTTTAGAAAATCTTCCAAGTTCATTTTTCAAGTAATATGCATTCATATGTGTCTTAAAATTAGAAATTTAATTTTTGCTTCTGCACTTACCTTAATTTAGAAAGCATTTATATCTAATAAAATTATGAAATGAGATCAGAAAGCTCTGTTGTTAATCTTAGTTATAAGTGTGTTTAAAGTGCATTTCTCCTCCATTAAGCCCACAAAATAAAGTCTTTAATGGATTTGTTCATAAGGACATTTTAGTACCACTATATATTTAAGTGTATTTTATAGCCCATTTATGAAAAATGCAAAGGAAATGAGGTAATAACCAGATAGATATTTTTATTCTACTTTCTAATAATAATATTACTGTATTTTGCCATGTATAATGTGCTCCCGTGTATAATGTGCACCCACGATTTTGGCCCAAGCTTTCAGGAAAAAAAATCTTTCATTTTAGTTTTCTAATTATTTATTTATTTATATTTGAAGGAAACCAATTATTGTATTCCAGGGTATTGTTTTGCATATGGATATTGCTATCACTTTCTAGCATTACACTTTGAACGCATAAGCATAAATTAAGGAAATTAAAAACATTTGTATAGATACAGAATTAATACTATCCATGTATAATGTGCATACTTATTTTTCCCTCAAAAATTTAGACAAAAAAGTGTGCCTTATACATGGCAAAATACAGTAGTTTGCAGCCTATTAATAGTAATAAAGGCTTCTTTCTCTGAACCTGGGACAATGGTTACTCTGATCAGACCTTAAGAGTTTGTATATTTTAATGGATATACATATGTAAAATAGAGACTGTAAATTAAAAAAAAGAATTTATATAATACCCAGAAGTAATTCCTATTTCTTTCAAATATGCCTTTAGTAAAATTGATCCTTTATTAACAGACAAGTCAAAATTAAAACCAGCATTTGAAAGAAGAAAATTCAGATTATGTTAATATGTGAAAAGCGTGTTCCATGAATGAAGGAAATTTAAGTTTTTTTCCTCTAAAAACAAAACTTATTTTTTCAGGAATTTATTTTAGATTGCTTGATATCTTCTCATTATTAAATTCTAATTTAAGAAGGATATTTTTCCCCTACAGATAAGTGAACAAACAAAAAGAAAGTTGTCATTTTCTAAGAAAAAAGCAATATGATATAGGCACAATAATTAGTGGGTTTTACTTAGTATATTTCTTTTTAAAATGTATACAATGGAAATGGCTAATATATATTTTTAAAAAACCTTAGAATCATTGTTTTCTTTTTAAAACAGTTATAAAATCTAAATGATGACATTACTGACCTTAGTCCTTAGAAACAAAACTAAACTATATTTACTTTGTGCTTAGAAAGAATGTAGCAAAACCTGATTTACAAAGTATATGCTTCTTAAAATGAAAGTGAATTATTGTTCCTGTTCTAATTTAGGTAAGCCAGAAAAGGAACTTAATAAACTGAGTGAGAATGAACGATCCATCTCTCCATTACTTTTTGAAGATAGTCCTCCTGATTTGCAGCCCCCAGAAAACACTTCCCAGGTGAACAGTGAAGAACAAAATAATCCTCAAACAATTCAAAACTCAGTTGTTTTTGGAACATCAGCCGAGGAAGTGGTAAAGGAAATTCGTTTCAGAATTGAGCAAAAAACAACACTGACAGCCAGTGCAGGTACTTAAAGAGGATATTGATGGCTGTAATACTTATAATTTTGGGACTGTCTAAGTCATGTGTAATTATTAGTAGTTTGTCATTATAAGTATAGAGTAACAATTTACTTATCCATTATTTTTTAATTTAACTTCTAACAACCTATTTGGAATGCCTAGAACCTGCAGGTAAGTTGGAATTAAGCCAAAAAGCCCTGGAGCCCAAAGGAAAAAAGAAACTATTTATAAATCTCATGTAGCTTTTATTTTTTAAGCACAAATTATATTTTAATTATTTTTGGACATAGTGCTTTATTACTTTTCCCTCAGAAGACTGCAGCCCTCCCAGGGTTACAGTGCAGGAGAGACCCCAGATGGGCACAGGGCAGTAGACTGAAGAATCACCAACTGGCACATAACAACCTAGGACCATCCAGTGAAGGGAAAAAGAGCTTTACATATGTCAGTAACCCATAAGGGTAACACTGCTTAGCATAGAGGCTGATATTCATCTTAAAGATCCTAAATTATCTTATATAAGCCATATTAAGATGAGGTTGGTCTTCTCTTTATACACCAGTGTGAGAACAATAATAAAATTTAGGAAGATGTGTATAAACATTTCAATGAACTATTTAATGATTATATTATAATATTTTTATTTCAATTCCTACTAATCATTAAAAGTAGTACTTTATAACATAAAAATGATGCACACATTTCATTATTATTGTTTTAAATATACAACCCAGAATTTTTGATATTTTTATGTGGATAATTTATACAAAAGACCTTTTCAAAGAGTAAACATACATTCTAATTTATATTCTGGATCTTTTCTATAAGCTAGCCTATGTTTTTACTACAGTTGGTATGTAAGTTAACAATATGAAGGGGAGGTCCCAAAAAACCAGAATTATCTTCTAGAGGGTGGGCTCCTTATAGTACAGACTTGCCCCACTAGGTGAGTGTTCTAGGAACCCCTCTGTCTCAGTGCACCAGCTGGTGGTGTTGTAAGAGGCTTCGATTTGCTTCAGTGAATTTTTTTTGAAGACACCTTCAACACGTTTGCCCATTTCATGATGGGTGATTTATGAGCGCACCTGCCCACACCATGCTGAATGTTCAACAGTTTTGACTAAAACCAGCATGATCCCCATGCCCCACCCTCCCTGTTTACCCAGTATCGCCCCAAACAACTTTTTTTTTTATTTCCCTGATGAAAAAAATTCTCAAAGGGAAACTTTTTGCCAATGTGGAAGAAGTGAAACAAAAAATGGCAGAAACACCAAAAGTCATCAAAATCGACAAGTTCAAAAACTGTTTTGAGCAGTGGAAAAAACATCTCGATAGATGTATTTTATCAGATGAGGAGTATGTGAAGGTGGCTGAAGTTTAAACACATAAGAATAAATACACAATTTTTTATAAATAAATTTCTGGGGTTTTTGGGTACCTTCTGGTATCACTTAAACTCAGGAATTACTCTTAGACTTTAAAATACAACAGAGATTTAAATAGTCCTCATTTCTGTTGTGAAAATAACTAACAAAGTTCTTTTTCCTAAAACCATAGGAAGCCCAGGGGAGATAGATAATAATCCACTGTTATTTTTATTTTTATGTATTTATTTAACAAGGCATATTATTATGACTTATTGCTATTATCTAAATATTCTCTTTCAAACATAGATGCATTTTTTATTTATTGAATTTATTTGGCATTGGTTAATAAAATTATATAGGTTTCACGTATATAATTTTATAATACATTAACTGTATTGTATTGTGTGTTTACCACCCAAAGTCAAGTCTCTTTCTATTACCATTTATTCCCCCTTCACCCTTTTCTACTTTCCCCCTCCCGACTTCCTTCTGGTAATAGCATACTGTTGTCTGTGACTGTGAGTGTTTTTGTTTTGTTTTATGTTTTTGCTTAATCACACTGTTTTTCTTTAAAACACTTTTTTTTACCCACTGTTACTTTTAAAATAGCATTTCACATCATTTCAGATATTTTGCATTTAACATTATTTATTGTTTTCTTATATTGTCATCATGTCATTTAAAGTTATACATATCAACTTCTTTAAGTCACAGAGTGTTCTTTTTTTAAGGCATTGCCCCAAATACAATGTTAGCAAAAGTATGCAGTGATAAGAATAAACCAAATGGACAATACCAAATTCTCCCTAACAGACAAGCTGTGATGGATTTCATCAAGGACTTACCCATTAGAAAGGTGAGATTTTATATAAAATTTATTCTGTGTGTGTGTGTGTGTGTGTGTGTCTGAGTTCTGAAGAGATACTATTTAGGGTGATAGTAATTCTTAGCTGAAAAGCTTTAAAACAGTAGGTAACAAGCAAGAACTATAATGGATGATTTAATTGGAAGAAATCTTTCAATTGAACCCTTAATATGTGAGGTTTAGAAATCTTGTTTGCTGAAAAATTTTAAGAAAGTAATAGATGACAGACTTTTAACCTTACCCCTCCTAAGGAGAAGAGGAATGAAAAGAATACAGAGAAGAGTTCTTTCAACTATAACTCAATATACAATCTTAGTTCTAAAGTACAGATTGCTGCTAGATTAACACATATGATACTTCAGAGAGACTTAGAATTTTACCCATTTTAACAAAAGTAAATCAAAATACTTTACCATGTTTAAAATGGTAAAATGATACTTTAGGGGTTATAGGAAGGGGGATGTATTTTATTATTTTTAAAGCTTCTAGATTTTCTGTATATATATGCTATTTAAACAATAGTTGTACTATATACCATTTGATGTCCTAGGTACAGAGGTGTCCAACCAGCAGCCCCACATGAAATCATAAATTTACTTATAACATTATGAGATTTTTTTGTGTGTGATTACGTGTTGCAGTATATTTATTGTGTGGCCCAAGACAACTTTCCTTCCAGTGTGGCCGAGATGTCAAAAAGTTGGACACCTCAGAGGCAGGACTTTTCTCATTCAACATAATGTACGAGTAAATTTAAATAAAGCATTTTCAGTGCTCAAAAGGAAGACTGTATCAAAATATATAATGTATAATGATTACTGAATAGTTTATTACATAAGGTGTAGCTATACAACAGTGTTTTCCAATATGTTTTTTAAAGTATGAATAGGTGTTCCATAAAAAGGTTCTGGGGTCAAATAACTTGGAATCTACCACCCTTGTGGGTCACAAAGATACTAATATATTAAAGATTTATAACTGTTACAGTGAGGAATTCAATGTAAATTTGTTTATCCTAGCATTCCCCAAGTTTGACCACAGAGCTCCTCTTTTTTTAATGCTTTAAAAAATTTCATGGAATTTTACATTTACGTTTTCATGTAACACTAATTTAGGAAATGCCAAAAAGCAATTAAAGCAGTTTTCTTATGAAAATAACTTATGAAATACAGTCATATTATTTATGCCTTTTATTGATTATAAAATGTATGATGAGATTACAGTATCGGTTCTTACCTCAATTTAAAAATGTGTTAATGATAAATATTGATTCTCTTCTAGGTTTCTGGAATAGGAAAGGTTACAGAGAAAATGTTAAAGGTTCTTGGAATTATTACTTGTACAGAACTCTACCAACAGAGGGCATTACTTTCTCTTCTTTTCTCTGAAACATCTTGGCGTTACTTCCTACAGATTTCCATGGGTCTGGGTTCAACACACCTGACAAGGTATCTATATGTATATTCATTCCACTTTTCACTTATTATTTGCCAAAATAACAGTTCTAACCATTGAAGTGGAGCCTATAAGGATAACATGTTTTTCAATTATTTTGGGCTGGTTCAATTTGGAATATAATTTTTTAATTAGAGTCAAAAGTTTGGATGTGGGAGAAAAGGAAAAGAGAGATAAAGAATCACTCCTAGGTTGTTGGCTACAGCAGTTGGATACATGAAACAAGAGGAATGATGGGTACTTTCTTTTCTGTACATGCCTCGTTCCTTGTTCAGAGCAGAAGAATACTGGAAGATTAGTGGTCAGATTTTTCAGAAAAGCAAGAAGGCTTATATTCTAGAGTTCACTTTTTAAACAAAGAGGTTGAATGATTCTTTGAAAACCTTCATGAACTAACTATTGACCCCCCAGATTCATAATGATTTGTTCATTTGGTACTGAATACTCACTTTTTGTTAGGCACTGTTCTGGACCCTGGGGATAACAGCAGTAAACAAGACAAAGTCCTGCCTCCTTGGAGTTTACAGACTAGTGTGGGAGATAGAAAGTAACCAAATAAATGAATGAAGGAAGTGAGGCAGTGAGGGCCTAAAAAATGACTAGGGGACTGGGGAAGAGCTGGGCTTGGCTGCGGTCATCCAGAGGCAGAACCCTCAGGGGCTCTCGTAGAGATCTCTACGGCCACGGGGAGATCTAGCAGGTAAGTGACTAGAGGAGGGGCCCTGTGTTTTCTTCCTTGCTACTCTGTTCTATCTAGGTCTTAAAAAGAAGTATCCTAGAGCTAGAAGGGTGTACTTTTGGGAGTGGGCAAAAAAGGGAGTTAAAAAAAGAATGGGAATTAACACAGCACTATTTTTACAGTTTTGTCATCATCCTGTCAGCCTGCCCTCAAAATAGTTCCTTTATAGTCTTAGACGAAAGGAGAACAAAAGATTACTCGGGGCATGTAAAATAAGTTTTAGTAATCAATTAAACCTGCTAAATCTTAACAGAGATTGTAAGGCTTGTGGTATTGCTTTTCTTAGCACTCCGTGCTTCTCAATCAGTTGAGTCCACAATTAGCTGACATTGATTTTCAGTGGAAATAATGAAAAATAAGAAAAAGACATCACAGTACTATATATAATCTAGTATTTTGAAGATAATGATGAGTCCTGGCTGGTGTGACTCAGTGGATTGAGTGCCAGCCTGTGAATCAAAGGGTTGCCAGTTCGATTCCCAGTCAGGGCACATGTCTGGGTTGTGGGCCAGGTCCCCAGTAGGGGATGCTCAAGGGGCAACCACACATTGAACATAATGAGAAATAGCCTTTCTCTTTTAATACAAAAATCAACTTCTTTTTATTTCCGTAGTACTTAAACACAATAAAGTTCTTGATAAAACATTGCACAGGGTTATAATAATATAATATAATAATATAAAATAACAAATCTACCTTATTTTAAATCTGTAGTACTTCTCCCCTTCTAACATATTCCATATTTACTTTTTATTTGTCTATTCGTCTCTCTCCATTAAGATACAAGTTCCTTAAGGGCAGGCACTTGGTCTGTTTTCTACATTACTGTATCCCCAAGGCCTAGAACAGTGCTTCATTCATAACAGGTTAATTGAATCTTTGGAAATGAATAACCTAACTGTCATTTCAGCCTTTCCGTGTCAACTACTCCTGTCAGAGCTGGTGGAATCCTACCAAACTAGACGTTTCAGATTCCCAATGTTCATCCTGCTGCTGTGTGCCAAACTCTGACTGAGGTTCTATAGAGTGATATAATGAATAATGAATAGGCTATAGGAGAGAGAAGTTAATGTACTCAGCCAAAAACTAGATAATTGATATTAAATTATTTAAAATTTAATTACATCCTATAACTGCAAGCCATTACATTACCACTTGCTATTGGTTTTTGTACATTGTGGTTTTGATATTCAGGCTTTTAATAGAAGCAATTTATATTATCAACCTATTTTCTTCTAAAAATTTTTTTATATATTAGTCTTTAGACAGAGGGGGTAGAGAGAAAGACAAAGAGAGAAACATCGATTTGTTGTTCCACTTATTTATGCATTCATTGGTTGCTTCTTGGATGACCCTAACCAGGAATCGGACTGGCAACCTTGGCATGTCAGGACGATGCTCTAACCAACTGAGCTACCCGGCCAGGGCAATGTCAAGCTGTTTTCAAATTTGTTCTCTTTGATAGGTATAGACTTGATCCATGACATGTGTAACCATATTAGCATCTTATCTACCCACATTCTCTGGGTGATTTATTCTCAGATTTTTAAAAACTCACTGTTTTTTGTGATGTATAAATTTGAGTCAAACACTGAGATCTCTAAAGGGTACTTGGTATATTAAATCCTCTTGGTCGACTAAAAGGAACTCAGTCTTTGAAAAAGCAAATAAAATCTTTTTTTTTCTTCATTTCAAGGGATGGAGAGAGGAAAAGCATGAGTGTTGAGAGGTAATATTTTTATATTATTAATTGTTCATAATTCATGCTATTTTAAACTAATTTTTAATTTTTACAAAAGTATCACTGAAATTAAAATACCTATTTTCAAACCACAAAACAATTCTCAGCATGTCACGTTCCAGAAGTAAATATCCCTGTACAGTGCTTTATTATCTTCACTTGCTATGCTCTTGATGGAAAAAAAATTAACTACAGTTGTTTTTTTAAATGTTGGTTTTGTTCCTATTCAGTGAAAAACAAGTATTTTAGGATTCTAAATCTTATTTCTATATTTTATAAAAAAAAATTATACTGAGAAGTTATTTGGGAAATTTAAGAATTGGCCATGGAAATTCTTTCTAAAACTCTTCTAATATTGGTGAATCAGCTGAGTCATCAAATAAATAGATATCGATGTAAGAGAGCTTAGAAGTGATCTATTTCATTGGTTTACAGTCTTATTTAGAAGTTAAGTGGAATCTTGATGGAAACCTTATTGTTTTGGAAAACATTTCATTGTTTGTGCAGTCCCTCAGTTTTCTCCAAGCACCGAAGTTCCACTGAGACATTCAAAACTACAGACGTAGCATATGGCTGTATTCAGAAAAGCTGAATGACGGCTGACAAGATGATGTACTCAGTAAATGACTGATCAAAATTGCCTTGAGGCTGTGATTTACATAAAAGCAATCAAAGGAAAAGGGAGGAAAACCATCTGAGAGTGTGATAGTATTGTCCTATTTAATGAATTTTTTCTTCCATTTTGTCTGTTATTCAGAATACTGCTTAGTATACAAAAATATTAACTATTAACATGTGTTAAGGCTAGGAAATCAATAGAAAAAATGAACAAAAATCTGGTTAACAGAAAGAGAAGTATAAATGGCTCTTAAAACATGTACAAATATTCCCAATTTGCTTTATAATTTAAGAAATACAGGACTTCTGGCCAAGATGGAGGCGTAGGTAGACTGTGCCTCCTCGCACAACCAAAATAAGGACAACAACAATTTAGAAACAAAAAAACAGCCAGTACTGACAGAAAACTGAACTGTGTGGGAGTCCGACAACCAAGGAGTTAAAGGAGAAACATTCATCCAGGCCAGTAGGAGGGGCGGAGTTGGGTGGCCGGGTGGGGCGGAGAAGGACTCAAAGCAAAGCGGCAGCAGGTGGACCCTGGGCTCGCAAGGCGGCGGCGGGCTGACCAAGCAAGGCGGTGGACTGTGGAGGGACTTGGCGCACAAGGCGGCTGGTGGACCGGGCGTCCCACATTCGTGCGCAGATAAGCCAGGCAAAACTGGGACCGAGACAGACCAAGCAACCCAGGACCCCAGTGAGTGGAAATAAAGCCTCAAAACACTTATTGAAAATACCTGTCGGGGTTGAGATGCTGGGAGAGACTCCCAGCCTCACAGGAGAGTTCACTGGAGAGATCCACAGGGTCCTAAAATGTACACAAACCCACCCACCCAGGAATCAGCACCAGAGGGGCCCAGTTTGCTTGGGGGAAGTGATGGAAAGGACTGAAATCCAGCAGAGAGCTGAGCAAGCGCCATTGTTCCCTCTCGGACCCCTCCCCCACATACTACATCACAACACAGCAACTGGGTTGACCCGCCCTGGTGAACACTTAAGGCTTCACCCCTTACTACGTAACAGGCATATCAAGACAAAAAAAAAAAAATGGCCCAAACGAAAGAACAGATCAAAGCTCCACAAAAAATACAACTAACTGACAAAGAGATAGCCAACCTATTAGATGCACAGTTCAAAGCACTGGTGATCAGGATGCTCACAGAATTGGTTGAATTTGGTCACAAATTAGATGAAAAAATGAAGGCTACACTAAGTGAAATAAAGGAAAATGTACAGGGAACCAATAGTGATGGGAAGGAAACTGGGACTCAAATCAATGGAGTGGACCAGAAGGAAGAAAGAAACAACCAAACAGAAAAGAAGGAAGGAACAAGAATTCAAAAAAATGTGGGAGGCTTAGGAACCTTCAGGACATCTTTAAACGTTCCAACATCCAAATTATAGGGGTGCCAGAAGGAGAAGGAGAAGAAGAAGAGCAACAAGTAGAAAAGTTATTTGAACAAATAATATAGGAGAATTTCCCCATTCTGGCAAAGGAAATAGACTTCCAAGAGGTCCAGGAAGCTCAGAGAGTCCCAAAGAAGCTGGACCCAAGGAGGAACACACCAAGGCACATCATAATTACATTAGCCAAGGTAAAAATGAAGGAGAGAATCCTAGAAGCAGCAAGAGATAAGGGGACAGCAACCTACAAAGGAGTTCCCATCAGACTGTCAGCTGATTTCTCAAAAGAGACCTTACAGGCAAGAAGGGGCTGGAAAGAAGTATTCCAAGTCATGAAAGGCAAGGACCTACATCCCAGATTGCTCTACCCAGCAAAGCTTGCATTTATAATGGAAGGGCAGATAAAGTGCTTCTCAGATAAGGTCAAGTCAGAGGAGTTCATCCTCACCAAGCCCTTAAATGAAACATTAAAGGGACTTATCTAAGAAAAAGAAGATAGAAAACATGTACAGTAAAATGACAGCAAACTCACAATTATTAATAACCACACCGAAAGCAAAAACAAAACAAACTAAGCAGATAACTAAAACAGGAACAGAACCACAGAAATGGAAATTACATGGAGAGTTAGCAACAGGGGAGTGGGAAGAGGAAAGAGGGGGAAAAGGTACAGAAAATAAGCAGCATAGATGGTAGGTAGAAAATAGACAGGGAGAGGGTAAGAATAGTATGGGAAATGTAGAAGCTGAAGAACTTATAAGAATGCCACATGGACATGAACTAAAGGGGGGGAATGTGGGTTGGAGAGGGTATGCAGAGTGGAGGGAAGTGAAGAGGGGAAAATGGGACAACTGTAATAGCATAATCAATAAACTATATTAAAAAAAGAAATACAGATTGAAAGTTCTCTGAGATAATATTTTTCACTGTTGAGGTTGGGAAAGATTCTAACACAACCAACTGGCAAGACTATGGGAGTGAAAAAGCTGTAAACTCTGAGGGGGGGTGGGTGCTAGCTTCTTATTGGTACTCTAACAAATTTAGTGGTTTAAAACAACACAGATTTATTCTCTTGCAGTTCTGAAGGTCAGAAGTCCTAACAGTAAGGTATTGGCAGGGCTGCATTCCTTCTAGAGGCTCCAGAAGAGAATCCGTCTCTTTATCAAAAGCTTCTAAAGGCTGCCTGTATTCTTTAGCTCATGGACCCACCTTCTGTCTTCAAATGTAGGATCTTCTCTTTGTCTGACTCTGAACCTCCTCCCCCTAATAAGGAACCTTGGGATTCCATTAACCCACCTTGATAATTGAGGATAATCTCCCTGACTTCACTTAAGCACATCTGCAAAATCCATTTCGTGATGTAGTCAGTTCAGAGGATTAGGATTTGGACATCTTTGGGGACCATTATTATGCCTCCCACAGGGGACAGACAATTTGGCAGTATCTATCAAAATTACAGATGCATATGTACTTCCATCCTACAGTTCTTTTTTTAGGAATTCATTCCATAGTCGTAATTGCATGTCATTTCACATGTATACAAAGTTATTCATTGCATTTTTTACTATAGCAAAAGATTGAAAGTATTATAACTTAAATATCCATGAATAGAGGACTGGTTAAATGACCTTACATCTTTAAACTAGAATATTAAAAATGAGAAAATTATTTACTCATAGGGAACTCTGGCCAGGACTAACTGAGAAAAGCAAAGCATTAAATAATGTGTCTAATATTCTACTGCTTATATAAAAATGAGGGGAAAATATTTGCTTGTTTGCTTATATGTGCATAAAATATTACTGGAGGAATTTATAAGAATAGAAAGCTGGCAACACTGGACCTGCACTGGGGGGAGAACAGGGTAGTTGAGTAGTTAGAAGGGGAGGTCTGAATGGTCATTTGCACATGATTTGTTACTTATTACTCTGATTTCTCTGTAGTTTCCTTCTCTTTTAGGTTAATTGACCTTTCAACTTCTTTTAACACTCTTGTGCAGATGAACTAAAAATTTCTACATTTAATCAGCCCTCCATTTTCAATTATTAGATAACTATACCTAGGTGCCATTAAATAACCCCTTAAATCTACTTGAAGATATCGCTCTTTCAGAAAATACCTGTGTAATAAATTGGAATGATGTTCTTATCTGAACTTTCTTAAGATAATCCTTTATAGCAGAGTCTATCTACATATATACCTTAATGTGTTTGGAGTTTCTGAGGGCATTATTACCTGTTGGTGGCTTTAATTATCTTTTTAAAAAAAATATTACAGAAAGAGCAAAAAGTATAAAAGTATACCTTTGCTAATCAGCTTAACTATTTAAATGATCTTCAATTATTAAGTAGATCTTAAATGTTTTTTACTTAATTATATCTTAACTCATCTGAAAACTTTATTCAGTACTACAGAAAATATAACTTAATGCTAAGCCATTGAAACATACTATATCATTCCTAAATTATCCTGGATTATAGTTTTACTTTGTGCACCAAAATCATTCTTGTCTTTCTAGGACATTCAGTGAGATAAGTAAAGCAGAAGAACAGTACAGCTTGTGCCAGGAACTTTGCAGTGAACTTGCTCAAGATCTGCAGAAAGAAGGACTTAAGGTACTTTATTGTAATGTGGTGTTCTTTCCGTTTTAAAGTTTTCTAATAATAAAATGCACTTTAATGCAAGAATTAGATTTTGTGTTTGAATACAAAGTGGGAAATGTCAGATAAGGGTATTGTCATCACCAACAAAGAAATTTAATGCTTACCCTTATTTGAGGGGTCATTCTGTCATTCTGTGAAGAAACAAGTTGCAGGGTAGAGTGATTCCAGTATAACTCCAGAGGAGTTTATACTGCCTTGGGAGTACATTGGAATAAGTTCAAAATCAGAGTTATGCTGGTATTAGAGAATAAAGCAAAGAAGGAAGGATTTTCCTAGAACTGTATTTACATATTACAAATGACTTCCCATCATCCATTAATGTTTTTCTCATGTAGGCAGTGACTTTCTACAGTAAGCATTTTGTTTCAAGGCTTTAATGCAGGTTTTTTAACACATTGAGAACAACATCTGGAAGGCTTCGACCTTTGTATTTGATATTCTTCACTCAGAGCAATCCACATTTAGTGTTTTTCTAACACTCTCAAACCAGAGTTATTTAGAGTAATTACAAAATGTAATGGTGATTACCAGAAAGAAAGCAGATGAGGGGGAAGTAGAAGAGGGTAAAGGAGGGATAAATGGTGATGGAAGGAAACTTGACTTTGGTGGCAAACACACAGTACAATATACAGATGATATATTATAGAATTGTATACCTGAAGCCATGTAATTTTATTAACCAGTATCACTCCAATAAATTCAATAAAAAATTTTAAAGTATTAAAACATTATTACAATGAGTGGAATAATTGATATTTTTCTTATAATCCTTTTCTATCATACCTTGATTGTAAGAAGAGTTGTTTTTTAAATATTTAAATAAACTTTTGATTTTAGAATCATTTTGGATATACAGAAAAATTGCCAAGATACTATAGAGAGCTCCAATATACCCAGTTTTCCTCATTATTGATATCTTATACTTCCAGAATATATTTGTCCAAACTAAGAAACTGACATTAGTACATAGCTATTCACACAACTCCAGACTTTATTTGGATTTTATCTATTTTCCATTAATGTTCTCTTTCTGTTCCAGGATTCAGTCTAGGGAACCACAGTGCATTTAGCTGTCCTGTCTCCTCCAATCTCCTCTAGTCTGTGACAGTTTCTCAGTATTTCCCTGTTTTTCATGACCTTGATAGCCTTGAGGAACACTGGCCAGATATCTCCCAATTTGGGTTCATCTGTGGTTTTCTTGAGATCAGACTGCAGCATGAGTTTTAGAAAGAATACCACAGAGGCAAAGTCCTTCTCATCCCATCCTAGGAGGTACAGTAGTGTCCCCTTACTGAGACTTTACTTCTGTAGTTTTAGTTACCCACGGTCTGAAGATACTAAATGGAAAATTCTGGAAATTAAACAAATCATAAATTTAAATTGTACATCATTCTTCATAGCATAATGAAATCTTATGCTGTCCTGCTTTAATCTGCCCAGGATGTGAATCATCCCTTTGCCCAGTGTATCCACGCTGCATATGCTGCCTGCCCATTAGTCACTTAGTGGTGGTCTTGGTTATCAAATCATTATCAGAGAAAGACCACATTTATATAACTTTTATTATAGTAATATTGTTATAATTTTATAATTTTATAAAATATCCTATTTTATTATTAGTTGTTAATCTCTTACTGTGCCTAATTTATAAATTAAACTTTATCATAAGTATATATGATAGGAAAAAACATAGTATATATCAATAGGGTTTGATACTGTCCACAGTTTCAGGCACCCACTGGGGTGGTGGAACAAATCCCCACAGATAAGGGGCAGCTACTGCGTATGAAAACCACATGATATCATGGGCGATGTTAACCTCCGTCAGTTGGTTAGGGTAATGTTTGCTAGGCTTCTCCATTGTGAAGTTACTGTTTTTCTCTTTTGTACTCTAGTCTTTGGAAGTGAGTCAATAAGTTTAATACACTCTTACTATCTCCAGAAGGTAGTAAAATATATGTAACATAAACTTTACTGTTTTAATCATTTTTAAGTATATATTTCAGTGGCATTGAGTACATTCATCCTGTGTAACCATCACCACTGTCAATCTCCAGAACTTTTTCATTATCCCAAGCTGAAAGTTTATGTCCATTAAACAGTAACTGTACAGAGAGTTCTTACATGTAAATTAACATACTATCTATTATACAGTTGCCACACAATAAGTATAAGCTGTGCACAAGACCTTTTCAATGGGCTCCTTTAGAAAATTTTTTTTCTTTTTTCAGGTACTAAATTGACCTCTAAAAGAGGTTTTTGGAAAAATATGATTAGTTAACTTTGCCCTTTATATAAATATCTTTTATAAAAATTCATTTGGGGAGGGAAGTAGTAATTGGCTAAAATAGAATTTTTTTTAAAGATTTTATTTATTTATTTTTAGAGAGGGAAGAGAGGAAGATAGAGAGAGAGAGAGAAACATCAATGTGTGTTTGCTGGGGGTTATGGCCTACAACCCAGGCATGTACCCTGGCTGGGAATCGAACCTGGGACTCTTTGGTTCCCAGCCCGCGCTCAATCCACTGAGCTACACCAGCCAGGGCGGAATTTTTTATTACTTTGGGATTCTAGTTATTCTTTATGACAATTTTATTACTATGTTTTAGGAAGAATTGATTATATTTCCGTATTATATGTACATAAGTGAGCTTCATGAGTTTTTTAACTGTAAAATATTTTTTTCCAGAAGTTAGAAAGCCCTATTTAATAATGTATTCTGTTAATTATAGGGTAGAACTGTTACCATTAAGCTGAAGAATGTGAATTTTGAAGTAAAAACTCGTGCATCTACAGTTTCATCTGTTGTGTCTACTGCAGAAGAAATATTTGCTCTTGCTAAAGAATTGCTAAGAACAGAAATTGATGCTGATTTTCCACATCCCTTGAGGTTAAGGCTTATGGGTATGACTTTTCTTTTCTGGCTTTTCCTTAAATATACTTTCCCAAAGAATCAATTTGGATATATTTTCATCTCCATTTTATTTCTTAAAACTTTAGGAATTTCTACTTAACTGCTGCCATATTCCTTAATTCTTAGAACTTGATGCATGCGAAGCTATGATTATTAGTTTATAATTCCATTCTTATTCCAGTAAGAATCAATTAAAGTTGTTCTTTTCCTTACTATCAATACTTGCTGAAATCCTTGGGGCTAGGTTTGTTTCAAAATTTTAAACTTTTCAGATTTAGAAAGCATATTGAATATATTTTGTAATACTACTTTGGAATATGGGGAAGCACTTCATGATCAAACACACTAATATTTCTTTAGCAAAGCAAAAAAACATTCACACTGAGTTGTAAACACACTAAAGAGCTTCCCATCAATCCAGCTATCAATTATTGTATGTTACTTACAATTTTCAGGGCTTTTTGGATTTTGGAATTGCAGATAAGGGACTATGGTGCTAATAAAACCACATCCTTAGCCACTGTGTGGTTAAAAAAAGAAAAGAAAAGAAAAGAAAAATGTTTTTAAAGTAAACTGTGTAAAACAACATTTATGGATAAGCATCCCAAATGCCAACTTAGTATACTACTAAGAGTGGTTCATTAGTCATACTTTCATTTATGAAAGATAGCACACACTGAGATCAATTGAGTAAAATATGTTAACTAAAAAGAACTAAAGGGTATATGTTAATAGCAGCTTTATTCATTATTACTAAAACTTGTAAAATTTGGAAGCAACCAACATGTCCTTCAGCAGTAGGTCAGTGGAAACTGTGGTACATTCAGACAGTAGAATATATTTAGCCACAAAAGAAACGAGCTGTCATGAAATGACATGGAGGAACCTTATGTTTATATTATTAACTGAAAAAAAAAAACAACCCAATCTGAAAAGTCTACATACTGTATTATTCCAACCATATAACATTCTGGAAAAGATTATGGAGACACTAAAAGTATCAGTAGTTATCAAGGATTTTCAAGAAGGGAGAAATGAATAGGCAGAGCACAGGATTTTTAGGGCAGTGAAACTATTCTATATGATGCCATAATGGTAGATACATGTCATTGGCCATTTGTCACAACGTTAGAATATGTAACACCCAAAGTGACTGTAATGCCTAGAGTGAATCCTAATGTAAACTATGGACTTGGACTGATAGTCTTGTGTCAGCATAGGTTCATCGGTTGTCACATACATACCACTCCGGTGGGGGATGTCGATAGTGGGAGAGGCTCTATGTGTGTGGGGTAGGGGATATCTGGGGACTCTGAACTTATTGTTCAATTTTGTTTTCAACCTAAAATTGCTCTAAAAATTAAAACGTATTGAAAAAAAGGAGCTAAAGTATCTATGTAGTTGACTCCAACTATTTACTTAGTATTTATTAAATGGTATCATGTGTCAAGAGCTTAATTGAAAGACCTATATAATCATACTAACTCCAGCAGGTACTGCTAATTAGTGATACCCAATTTTATTTTAAAAAGTATAAATTTCAGCTCAAAATACAGTTTTGGGAAAACATCCTTTAATTCAGAAAATATAGTGTTGCTAATTACTTTTCTCTAAACAGCCCTTTTTATATATGTCACAAAAGTATTTGCAAAATGTTTTGATGGATTATGAGTGAGTTGGCTTTGTTGAATTTGAAACTGATTCATTGTGGTTGGTTTCATTTAGGTGTTCGGCTATCTAGTTTTCTCAATGAAGAAGATAAGAAACACCAACAAAGGAGTATTGTTGGTTTCTTACAGGCTGGAGACCCAACCCTGTCAGGCACTGGGTGTATAGAGAAAAATGACAAAGATCAGTTTTTAAAACCTGTAGAAATGTCTCATAAGAAGAGTTTTTTTGATAAAAAACGATCAGAAAAGAAATGGAGCCACCAAGACACAGTTAAGTGTGAAACTGTGAATGGACACGCTGTACAGACATCACAATCATTCCAAGTTTTAAAGAAGAAGATGAGTGAGAATTTAGAAACATCAGAGAATTCAGATAACAATCAGATATTTACCTGTCCTGTTTGCTTTCGGGAGCAAGGAAGCATCAGTCTGGAAGCCTTTAATAAACATGTAGATGCATGTCTTAATGGACCTTCGATGAGTGAAATGTTCTCATATTCACATGCTGCTTCTACAAAAGTTAACAAGAAAGGACACATACATCATTCTTTTTCCCTCTGTGAGAAGCAGGATTATGAAACCCATCAAAAGAATACAGAAATCAATTCGGAAGATTGTGCTGAATTGGTAGAGACTGTAGGCAATCCATCTGAAGTAGAAAGTATAGATGCTTTAAGTAATAAGTATAGCAAAGAGGGATGTTCTAGCCTTCCAAGCACGTCATTTAATATTGAAAACTGTCATCAGAATTCTTGTTCTGTTGCACTGGAAAGTGAAGATGCTGGGTCACTGAGAAGGCAAGAACCCCCCCAGCCTTATTTATATGAAGAGATGACAGACCAGGCTCTAATTTGTCCTGTTTGTAATGTAGAGCAAAAAACTTCAGATCTTACCCAGTTCAATGTGCATGTGGATATTTGCTTAAATAAAGGCATAATCCAGGAACTTAAAAAGGATAAAGTTAATCCAGTAAACCAACCCAAAGAAAGCACCAAAAGTACTGGTGAGTTTGTAGTCATTTTAAAGAACTTGATTTTCTAGGAATATTTTATTAAAATTGAAATCTTTATTAGGTCTGAAACACCCACTCTTAAAGGGACTGTTTATGTATGCTGCCATTTAGGTCAATGTTAGTTACCTTACCATAAGTTAGAATTAAGTGAAGCCAGTAGATGTTATGTTTGGGGCAAACTTTGGTTTGGGCTTGATTTAGCACAGAATGAACTCAAAGGCTGAGGGAGCTGAGTGATGTAATCAAAAAAGACTCAGACATTTGTCAAGGCACAGTGGTAAATTAATGATAATTACATAGCCAGAAAGCTTCTTTAACTTGTTTTTTGGTAGCTATGATTCTGGCCAAATTTCAAAAATAAAATTAAGTGTAATACTAATAAAACAATTATAAATAAATCATGCTGTAAAGTTAGTTTCTGGTATGTATAAATATGAACTAGGTAGTATTAAGGAACTTTTTATTATTATCTTTATATCAGTCAGCTTTAACTTTTTAAATTTTTATACAATCCTTTATTTCTTATTATTCATCATGGAATTTCTTCATTTCTCTTCTCTCTGAAGGTAACTCAGGCAGAGTGCAGAAGGCTGTAACAAAAACAAAGAGGTATGACTAATTTGAGCTTGAGTAAAGCTACCTAAAAAACTCATATTTCAAGGTTGAATTTTTAGATGTTAAAATTTCCTTTTATATCAAGTAAATTTTTTTAAAATCAATTATTTGCAAAATTATTTTTGAAATCTCTTCCTGTATTTTAATGATTTTTTTTTTTAATTTCAGATCAGGATCCATGACAAAGTACTCAGCATCAAAGAAAATAAAACCAAGCAATCCCAGACATACCCTTGATATATTTTTTAAATGAACATTGAACTTTTTATCATTAGTTTTTAATTGGAACTTATTTTTTATAATCACTGAAGGTATTCTTGCTCATTTTAAGTTTACAGATTCATTTAGCGAAATGGCCAATGTAGTAATCCTTCCCCAGTGATATTTCCCTTACATGAATTTGGAATATATACTAATGTTTTGTATACTTTTTGGGTACCACAAGAATTGCACACTTCCTGTTAGAGATACTTTTAAAATGAGAAATTAGGAATGGGATCAATAGATCAATAAGTGATTTATTTCTTTATTAAATTTTATAGTGAATGTAAAACCATGTATTTATAAGGGCTCTGATATTCACAGAAACCTTTTTTAGCATAAAAGCTTTTCAGTACTTAACTGTTTTGTTGGCACTGGTCTGCCATAATTGATCTTAGTATCTTCTACAACTTTGTATATTTGTATTTTAGCTCCTACTACCTTCAGGTACCTCATGAGCATTCTTGATTAATATTTATCATACATTCTATGAAAAAAGCTTAGCAGAACTAGCATGAGAGGTTCTGTTCCTTTCAGGATAATAATATCACAGTATTATTTTCTGTGTTAAAAGAGTTTTGCTTAAATTATTCATTTGATTTTTTTAATTTAAACTTACTTTTTTATGAATAAGCACTTGGTCCACTTTTTAAAAAATTTAGTCTAAGATATAAAGTAATTGTTTTTTATTTAGGACTTTTAAATGGCAATATTTAATTTCTTGGCAGTTATGCGTGTACTCTTCTCAAATCTATAAAGAATAAATTGTGCACTCACTTTATTTTTATAAAACCTTATAGAGAAAAATGCACAATTCAAAAGATGAATGTGTTTACACTAGATCATGTATCTTAGTTATATTTCTGTCATGTTTTTATTAATATTTATGAAAGAAGACAGCTTAACAGTAAGTAGTTAGCTTAAGTAGTTGCTCCAGATAATTTTGTGCTATGAGTAATAATTTTTATCAGAAACAATTATTTATCTGAAACATGAAGATGGTAGCCATTTTGTGACTGCTTTAAAGAACCATACCTTTTATTCTCTTAGATTTTTGTTTTCTTTTATCCTACTTTTCTTTTTAGTTGACATACAACCTTATATAATAGGGAAATGAAAAGTTACAGGTTATAACAATGATTTAATATTTGTATACCTACTTTTCATCTAAATTCACCTCATTTAAATTTATAAAGAAATCATATTTTAGGAATAGCTTAAATTACGATCTTGCCCAGCCTTTGGCAAAAGTGGTAACTTGACTTTAAATTTCTAGATTGTTTAAAATAAGGCTTACTGTTTATTAGCATGCCGATCACATGCCTGTTGTTATTGTATACAAGTGTGAAAACAGCATTGTGCTGTGGTTCTTGACTGTGTGATTTACTTATGCAGGATCTGTAAAAAATTAAGTTCTGTGAAACACCGATTTAATGTATTGAAAAATAGATGGTACCATAGATGTTTTCTGTCTTGCCTCAAGTTAATTTTTATTGTTTTCAACATTAAATACTAAATTATTTTATTTAGAGGACTTATTTAATTGAATGTTATCATTTAGACATTTATTTTTTATTTAGTCTTTTTGTATTTATCATTTAGTCCCCTTATATTCCCTTCATTTAGACATATTTAATAATAATTCAAAATAAAATTTAAAATATTTAGTTGATCTTTTAGCCAATAGAAATGGTTTCCTTCCTTTTTCCACTCTTTTCCTTCCTCAGTGCTTTTACTCCTATTTTCTTTGCCCAAAATTTTTTTCACATCTTTTTCTTACCTGTTTTATCTAATATCCAACTCACTTTTTTCTTTTTATTATAATTTTCCTTTGGGGCATTTTTAGAAAATGCAGCAAAGCAACAAAGAATAAACACCTATAATCTTACTACTTATAGGGTCAGAATATAAGGAAGCACCTGGGAGAATATATTTGTAACACAATAACTGGGGAAAAAACAGAGTGTATAATCCAGAATATGTAAATGACTTCAGTGAATCAGTGAGAAAAAGACAGCCAATAGAAATTTGGATAAAATACTTTAAATGGTGCTTGACATAAAAAAAAAATCTAAATGGCCAAGAAACATGCAAACCATTTTCAGGCATTTTAGTAACAGGGAGATGAAAAGTAAGAACACAAAGATGTGTCATTACATCCTTACCAGAGTTGCAACAATGAAAAGGTCCATTAAAAATTAAGTTCTGGTGAAGACGTGGAGCAATGTGAACTCTTACTTTGAAAACAATCACTTTGGAAAACACTATGCCCTTCTTTAGTAAGTGTGAAGGTGTGCACACTCAGTAACCCAGCAACTACACTTCTAAATATACACCTTTGCTGGTTATTTTCTGTTTGCCCTCCAGATCATTCTTCTGCCTTATATTCAGCAAGGTGCTGTGGCGGGGGTGGGGGCGGGGGGGGGGGCGGTGGGGCACTGCAGAAGATTTGGGAAGGAAGAAAGATGAAGTTGGGTATTTAAGCCTTCATGTACCTTTTTGTTAAGTCCCTTAACCGAAGGTCACAACTTCTTGTACGTGGCCACAGTGACACTGCATTCTCTGCTGTCTCTCCAAGTTGTGATAGTCCTTTCCTTCCCTCACCTCTTCAGCTAGGAGTGGCAACAGAACCTTGCCCTCGTTAGCCCTGGGGTGCTACACTATCCTTTATGATTTTCCCTTACCCTGCCCGCACCTATGTAGATGGTCCCTTTCTTAAACTCATCTCAAATTACAATTTTTTCCTGCCAGAACCCTAACAAATACATTGTCCTGTGGAAACTATGGAACATGTTTCCTAGGCAGCACATACAAGATTGTTCATGGCAGCACTGTAAGAACCAAGAATGGGAAATAAACCAAACATTCAGCAATGGAGGAATGGTTAAATTCTATCATTGTATATTCAAACAAAAATTCTACCCAGTGGTGAAAATCAAGGATATAGCTCATCAGAATGTGCACCAATATCACAAAGATAGGGAGCAAAAGAAGCAAGTCGTAGAAGGATGCAATCAGAATGATTCCATATTTATATAAAGTTCAAGCAGTTAAAGCTATACTATGCTGTTTTACAGGTGTATTCATATGAGATCGAATTATAAACACAAGCAAGTGTGTTAGTTGTCCCAATAATTAAAATAATGATTCCTTCTGAGGAGCGGGAGGGGCATGTGATCAGGGAATGGCACACGGAGCTTCTGGGATGCTGACAGCGTTCTGTTTCTAATCATGAGTGGTAATTGCATGTATATTCACCTTAAGCTGTACAAATATATTTTATACACTCTTGTTCATATGTGACCTGTATCACAACAAAAAGTGAAGAGAAAAAAATGGCAGAAACTGCTTTGCTTGGTAAGATATTTTGTCCGTCTCTGTAATGTACTAGTGTTAATAGAGAAAAAAGTACATTTTGCTTTTCTAGGACTTTGCTGAACACAGCAAAAGAGAGCCATCATTTTGAGTTTTTCTCCTAGTACTTCCCCTAATGCTACAGCTTCAATCAGCATTTGGTCTGCTTTTCAAAGGACAGCCGTTGACAACTTGACCAAATACTTTGTCACTGCCAAATAAGTCACCAACGTTTTAGCCAGTGATGTTTGTGTCCCCACTCCCCAAAATTCTCCCTCAAATACCGAGTCAATCCTATATATTAGGTTTTGTTATTCGCAGCACCCTACTTTCTGTATGAGTTTAGAATTTCACTTCAGCTGTGCATTACAAAGACCCAAATCAGAGTCTTTTTTAAAAAAATTGGATCTACTTTGCATTTGAAATATGAATTTCATTGCTTAGCATTGGCTCAGTAGTTCAGAGATGAGCTCAAAGTCTCTGACTTTCTCAGCCTCACAGTCAGTTTGTGGTTACAAGATGGGCTCTTCCACACCCAGCCTTACACGTGTGTTCCAGATAGGAAGACAAGAAAGTGGAAATGAAAAAAGGGCAACAAGTTTGTCCCACTTTAAGGAGCTTTCCTGGAAGCCCCACATAATTTCCACTTATATCTCAAACTGTCATAGGGCAACTGATAAGGCTTCCCCATATTATAGGGAACTTGCAAATGCAGTTTTTAGTTGGGCATGTTGCTACCCCAAATAGAACCAGGTTCTGTTAATAATTCTAAAGAATTTTCTTATTGAAAACTATATAAATTATCACATTTAATGGTGAAATTTTAGAAGCATTTCTTAGGAATAACACAAGGGTGCCCTCCATTACTTTGTTGGAGATCCTAGTCAATTTAATAAATAATATAAATGAAAACTGGAAACAAATAAATAAAAATAAAACTTTATTGTCAGATGGTGTGTTTGTCTACATTCTTTAAAATCTACGTTTAATTAAAGTTCAACAAGGTTATGACTACAAGATCAATACACAAAAGAAGTAGCATCCCTGTACCATTGTAATAACCAATTAGGACATATAATAAAAATAATCTCCTATGTAACAACAAGGTACAAGGTACTTAAAGAGCAGGTGGGGAATCTATCAAAAAATGTGTAATAACTTGGGAACTACAAAATATTACTGAAAGATGAACTTGTACATCTGAGTAAATGAGAAGTGTAACCCTGTACATGATAGGAAGGATAGGAAGGATGACTACCTTAAAACTATTCTCAAATTATTCTATAAGTTCAGTAGAATTCAAAACAAAATACCTCATGGTTTTTCTGGGAAGTTGTTAAGTAGGCCCTAAATGGTATATGGAAGAGCAAAGGCCCAAGAATAAGAAGGTAGAAGGACAGGCCTTGTTACACGTCAAGATTTATTATAAAGTTGTAGTAATACAGCATATTAACAGAGTGGTATTGACATAGGTGTGGACATTGTAGATGACTCACTACAAAAAAGTATTGACTATTAAATAAATGATGCATGCATGATTGGTTATCCACAGATTTTTTAAAAATGTGATCTCTACTACTATGTGATGAGCCTCCAGGACTACCCTCAGGCTAAATATGTTGTTAGAATTATTTGCAGGACTCAAAAAAGCTGTTATACTCGTAGTTACAGTTTGTTGCAGTGAAAGAATACATATTAAAATCAGCAAAGGGAAAGAGGTAAATGGGCAAAGTCCAGGAGGGACCAGGCACAATGCAGGCAGCAAAGTACTGCCAACCAGGGAACCTCACCCAACCCACTCAGCCGTCTATTGTTGAGTTCTGTCTACCTTTGTAGGGCCTCTTGAAAACATTTCTTTCCATTCTTTTTTCAAGCCCTTACTAGTTGCCTAAACTATGGCCTTCCAACTGATTTCTCAGCTTTCCCTGTCTAAACTGTTTTGTGCATTTTTTTTTTGCAGATTAGCCATAAATAGCACTTTCATAATGTCACTCTTATGTTAGAAACAAAACAAATAAAAGATTTCAAAGCTCTCAGCTCTCTCCAGGATCAGTAGCGGGTGAGAAAAGGGGAGCTGATTTTCAGTGAATGATGATTCCTGTGGTGTAAATACCATAACAGATTTTAAGCTGTGGACATGATGTCAACCAGTTCTCAAAAAATTCCCGAGAACTCAGCAGCCAGCTCTTGCAAGCCATTACAAGCCATTACGTATCGCTGTCCATGATGTACACCAAACACTGGGCTTGGCATTCAAGGCCAATCAAATCCTACTGCATAGCTTGTGGTTTCCTGAATAGATGATGCTATTTCTTCCTTCTGGAGTCCTGCTCAGTTGCTCCCTCTGCCCACAATGTGCTTCCTGAATGCCCCTTTGGCCTCTCCCACTGTATACAACTATTCTTTCAGCTCATCCCAAGGGCCACCTTCAGGAAAGGATCCCTGTCCTCTGGAAAGACTGATCAGACACTCCTTCATGGTCTTGTCTCTCTATAAAGACCCTGAAATATTCTTTGCTGTAGCTTTGCTATATGTGCCCAAAGAGTGGTGTCTATTGCTATATTATTATTTTTGCCCTGGGAAGACGGGGTTGTGGCTGATGTAGGTGGCTCCACTCAAGCCGGGCCCTAAGGGATGGGCACTCCAGAAAGAGGGAATTGCATTTCTTTTATTTAGATAATGGTTTACTTTATAAATATTTTATTATTTGTCCTTTTGGGGGGCTTAGAAATATTTAGAAGAAGTCTCAAAATATGACAGTTAACCTAGAGCTTTAAAGTGAGTTTTGAGGAAATAGTCCATTTTGAAAACAATACCTGGTGCCTGGTGCTGATTTCTTTTTTTTTTTAAGTAATGCTCCATTTAACAGCAGTAATATGTTTAAACATACCTGCCAGGATTTTGATGAACCTCACAGAGAGGTGGAGTTTATTTCCCTGGAGCACAAATTTTTCTTTTGCTGTGCAATTGAAGGATAATCACTTTTCTTTGAAATATACAAATGGATTGATTAACAGTTCAAGAAAAACTCAGATGGTAGGGTGAGAATTGGAAATATGATTCCATTTATTAAGCTAACCTCAATATTGAACTACCCACCTTACAAGTGTGCGCTCATTTATGACACTATCTCCTTGTTGCTTGCTGTTCACACAAGTCTCAGGGAGACAA